GGGTCTAGGCCCGAAACGTCAGCCTTTCTGCTCCTATGATGCTGCTTGGCCTTCTGTGTTCATCCAGCTCTGCACCTTGTTGTCTCAAAGGATAGGGAGGTCATTTTGCACCTGTTCAGATCAACAGTATATATCATACAAGATTGGAGTTTGCTGAAATAATTGAAATATTAATTTAAAATGAGGACTTGCCTTTAGTAATTATTATGTAGCTGACTTTGTAATTTTTCAATGTTGATACAATGCAATGTTTGGACATTTCATCAAACAAGCGTGATCTGAAAAATTGTATTCATCATATTAATTTGAGAGAATAGGAATCCCAATCTAATTTGTTTACCTTGATGTATCTGTTTGATGTTTCCTTTTCATTGACACTTCTCCACTTTTCATCATCTGCATCTGCCTCCCGTATGTCAGCATAGTACCCAGTCACCTCGCTGCGGCCGATATAGACTGGAGCTTTCCAGAGCAGTACTAGTGAGTTCTTTCTGACCTCAGTGTACATGACATCATGAGGTGGTCCTGTATCAGTTTGCAAAATGCATTAGTTCGCATAAGATTTAGACTAGGCATGATGGTAATGATTACATTCTTATTGTCAATATTTTAAGCATTAATGATTGGTGTCCTCCTTAAATATTATTATCCTGTACTTTAATAAATTGTAGTTGATCTGAATAAGAAATCCTTAAGTGTAAGAACATCCATAGTACATTTTTGATCCATATTTCTAGAATAATTGGAAACAAGTCCTTCTGGAGATTGTTACCACTGGAATTCTTGTCCAGGTTGGTAATGTTTACAGCATAAGAACTAAGAGCAGGAGTCAGTAATTCAGCCCCTCAAGCCTGCTCCACCATTTGATATGATCATGGTTGATCTCATCTAGGTGTCAACCAGTTTCTTGCCTGCTCCCCAAATCCTTTCAACCCATTACTAAATAAAGATCAGTCTATCTCCACCTTAAATTTATTCAAACGACCCTTTGCGGGAAGTCATTTCTCCTCATCGCTGTATAAATCTGCAACCTCTTACACTGAAACTATGACCTCTCAGTCTAGATAGCCCCACAAGTGGAAACATCCCCTCCACATCTACATAATTCCCTTTAGTATCTCATGTGCCTCAGTTAAGTGATAATGAGATCTTATTTTATGCATTGTTGACAGAGTATATTAGTTAGCAGTGTGCTCCATCTGCCATTTGCTCGGCAGGAGTCCTGATAATTAAGAGGCCTAGCATGTGCAAATGATGTAGGATACTGCAATATATTGAACAGCTGTTTTTTTTGTGTGTGTGTACTGTGCACCCGAGATCAAGGAGATGTTCAATTGCTGACTACTTGCTGAAAAATGAGCAACTAGATGGTTGAAAATTTGGTGAGGATCTTGTGATCCCATGTGCACACCTGAAATAATTCCCAGGCAGGTCTCTAAATGGAGGCTGTTGCCCTGGCTGGTTAGCTGAATTGGCTGGCTGAATGGTTTGTAACGTACAGAGGTGCAAACAATGCAAGTTGAATTCCCATAAAGACATCACCCTTGGGGCCCTCCTGTGATGCAGTGGCAGTGTGCCTACCCCTGAACCAAGAGACCCAGGTTTAAGTCCCACCTGCTCCACAGGTGTGTAATAACAAACTTTGAACAGATCATTTCGGAAAATTAGGTTAATAATAAAAATTAAGATGTAAAAAAATGGAGGCTGTTTAGTTATGAAAATCACATCAAAAGCTTGTTGTAAATCCCTTATTATGAACAGAAATGGGTAGACCATGTATGGCACACGTCAGTTCCATTTTTTCTGAACTGCAGGTCTCTCCAAAGGTTTTAAGTCTCTGGGTTTTTAAAAGATTGTCTGGGGCCAGAAAAATCAAAACAGTTCCTTTGGGTCCCACAGAAATCTGGGGATCTATTTCTTTCTTCTTGTGGTGCCTTCATCTCAAACACAACCTCTTCTATGAAATAAGGGTACTTTATTCTTGCTTTAATAATTTGCATCACTGTGCATTGTAGGTCTGTTGTTTCAGAGAGGAAGTAGACTTGCCTGGAACAGCAATAGTCCATTCTTCACACTTAAATTTCTCACTCGGCAGAGATGGGAGACCAACACCTGCCATGTTTATTGCACGGACTTGGAACTGATACACCATATTTTCCTTCAGGTCATGGATCTGTAGGAAGGGAGTAGTCAGATTAAGAATTAGAGGAAGACAGTATAGACATATTGATTACTGTTATAATAATAACAAAAATACTGTGATTACAGGCAATGAGAAATGAGAACAGAAAATGGTGGATAGACTTAGCAGGTCAGGTAACCTCTGTGGAGAAGCAAAGAGTTAATGTTTCAAGTTCTAGTTGGCCACAGTAACCTACTTTGTTTGGCAGATTTTCCATGTTCTCTCTGGTCGTTGCTATTCTGCTGCAATGTCCTCTGGACCCATCCATTTTTGCAATGCCTGTCCCGATGACACTACCTATTGTCTTGTACCAGCATCCATTTTGACATTTAATTACTCATTTCCTTAATGCCATCACAGACCCCTGCGCTATTTCCCAGCCCTGACTCTTTACTGACCCAGTTCCAATATCTCAGTTAAAACAAAAGGGCACCATTCTGAAACATTGAGCTTGATTTCATGGCTGGTTTAGTGAGCTCATCCATTGCTGCAGAGCCAGTGGCAACCCCACCATTCCCGGGAGCCGCGTCATAATTCAAAGCCAGTCAGCTTGGCGTCCGGCTTTTCAGGCTGAGTCAACGGATGCCATTTCAATCAGAGCCTGGCAGCTCTTCAGTGCCAGTGCAGGATTGGAATAGAGCTACTGCCAGTCCTGCCAGCATTTCCTGGGAAGTGGAGCAGTCATCACGTCCCAAAACACAGGAAAGTGGATGACCTTGTTGGCATCAGTCGGGCAGGCATGGGTGGGAGACAGGGGACAGTTTTGGGGACTTGGTAAAATTTCATTGCAGAGGTGGCACTTACCACCAACAGATCCCTCCATGAAGCACAACATGTCCAAGGTTCTCCTTCGGACCAGGCCTATCAGTGTATACCTGGGGGCCTGCCCACATTCCATACCCTCCTCAACTCCTGCCACCCGGTGCCAGATTGAGGCCCCCAATTGTTCACTTAGGGGCCTCAGTTGACCAATTTCTGCCCTTCCTGCCTTATTTAATTGAGGGATCCAGGAAAGGGACAGCTCCCTCCAGATCCAGGGCTATTAACGGCCACTCAATAGCTCTGTTTGTCCACCAATGCTGACCTGCTAGGTATTTCCAGGATTTCAGTTTTTATTTCACATTGCTTAACTTGTTATGGTAAAGTTTAATCAATTTAATTCTTTGCAGCCAGATTTCAAATATGTTCCGAGAGCATGATACTTGATTCTTCAGATGTGTATGGCCTGCTGATTATATGTCAGTGTCATTTACTAATCTAGAGTAAAAACAGGAGTTGCTGGAAAAGCTCAGCAGGTCTGGCAGCATCTGTGAAGAAAAAAGTCAGAGTTAATGTTAACTCTGATTCTTTTTCTTTGCAGATGCTGCCAGACCTGCTGAGCTTTTCCAGCAATTTCTGTTTTTATTCCTGATTAATAGCATCCACAGTTCTTTCAGGTTTTTCTCCAATAGCAATCTATTACTATTGAAATTTATATGAGTTGTCCCAGGATGTAGGTAACATCCTTATATTAATGCTGCATATGGAATGAGAGAAAGGAGACCTGAAATGATGGTGAACAAAATAAAACTTATTTTAATAGAAGTGATGTGTAAATGTGCACATAGTATATAACATAGCATTTATATTTATTCCCATATTTAGATGAACACTTGAGGAGGATATTGAACTATTGAACCCTTGCAATTTCTAAAAACACGTTCAGGGAAAAAGGTCTTGTTTCACTTACTCTATATGCCCGCTCAGTTATAGCTTTGATATGGGCTTCCTTCCATTTTCCAGGAATACCATCAATAATTTCACGATAATCCACAAAATAGCCAGTAATATCAGAACCACCTTGGAATTTAGGCTGTTTCCATCCCAACACCATAGAGTCACGGACACTTTCAAGAACTGTAATTGCATAAGGTGGTGTAGGAGGAGCTGTTTGTAGATAGAGTACATTAGGTTAATATTCAAATCCACTTGACCTTTCTGATTCAAATTTCACCATCTGAATCATTTTTGTACTCTGTCTTAAAAGAAATCCTTTATTCATTTTACAAATAATAACTGAAGGAAGCTTGGCTTTGACCAGTAATATGCATTTTCCATATACTGTATTGATTATGACTTTAAATTACATTTATTATGGAATTTTACATTATAGTGGAATCATAATGAAATGCCAGCAAAAAGTAAACTCAGTCTACAAGTGCCTTGAGTTTGTTTTCAGCATGAAACTTTTACTGAAACTGAGATAATAACTAGACTGTGGCTTTTTCTTGAATTTTCAACTTCAGAACGCCATTATAATTCAGTTCCTGCAAAGGGCAATACAGGTAGTATTCCCATACAAGTAGAATAAAATTTGATTGCACACTCAAATATTTCTCAGCATTTTGAGAGACAGGAATAGAAAACAACCTATGAAATATGTGGTGCAATTATTGGTTTATGGTGGAGCTTACCAAAAAATTAAACATACCACCTGAAACTGCCTGGAATGGTTAATTTGTTAAAAACAACATGTAACTGTGCTATGCAGATGAGAAAGCCTCCTGTTTATTCTTCAGTCTTGAGCAGCGCTTCAAGCTTTAAAATGGGTCTTGGTGATCCCAATTAGTTCACAGAACATCAGGTTCAGAATCTTGATCATTGTCTATGACGCATGTGTTTGTGTGCTATGAGAGAGAGAGAGAGAGTGTGTGTGTGTGTGTGTATGTAAGAGGAGAGAGAGAGAGAGATGGGTTTTCATTCCCTAATACACAGCAGTTTGCTGACACTCACTGTATCTAATTACACATGAAGGGATAAGGCTACACAAAGTATGAGGGGATTGCCTGTGAAACCCTAATTTGAGCGGAAGCCATTGACTTCTAAAGAGCAGAAGACAAAATGAAAGAAAAAATTTAACTACAAGAAATAGTCTTTTATTCTACCAGAATCCATGATCAAAAACTCAGATTCCATGTTACTGCCAATTAACCATTCTATTGGAGTGAAATTGTTTAAATGAGTAGGATAACTAACTATGTAACTTGACAGAAACCACAGCGTTTCGTTTTCATTTAGGCGTTAAACCAAGTGGTGTCCCTGCTTGCTGTCTTCCTGCTGGAGCATTCATTTCTCTTATTTTTACTCATAATTGCAAACCCAGAAAGACATCACTTACAAAATCTAACTTCACTTAATTTCTATTAAAAAATTAAAAATGCAACAAGTTATGACAAAGTCTTAAAATGACAGTTAATAATGTTATGTACAGAGCACCTAATAGATTTTAATGCCATTGTTCTGTCCAGTCTTTTAAAGAAGACACAAACTCAAACTCATTGAAAATACGAGTTAATACCCATATGATAGTTCACACCTATGACTCAAAATGTTGTGAATTCTCCAGTTCAAAGACTCCACAGAGTGTCAGAGTCATCTCACAGAGCAAAAGAAAATACCAATTGTAAAATAACTAGGGCTGTTTCCTCTCATCTCTCACCAGAAAAGTACTGTGTCACAACCTTTCCTGGGAAGTTAGGGAGTGGTGAAGTATAAAGTATAAAGTATATCATATAAAGAAAAATTGATATGTTTCAAGTTGGAAGAAAACAAGTATATTCAAGAAAAATCTACAGATTTGAAAACATGCATGTTGATCAAGGCTATCACACTGGTGATCGTGTGTTAGAATCATTCACTGTACCAAATATCTATATCGTGTTTATGAATTACAAAGGTGTTTCACACAAGTGAAAGAACTGATATTGCAATACCTCTCGTCTTCTACCGAGAATTGTACTAAACTGTGAAACATATTGGCAAGTTACGACATTACTGAAGCAAAATTAACACTACATCATAAAACATGTACATTCACTCACAGAACTGAAGCAATTATAAAAATAAATAAAACATTATCATCTTTTTATTTCCTTGTATTATTTTTAATAAAAATATTTAAACTGTGAGTCTTATGGCAGTACTAGGAGTATTAGGTTACTGAATCTGACATATTTGAAGGAATTGAATTTATGTGCACTGCTAATGGTGAATTATTCCTAGCTGCAAGGTATGCCTATTACACTGTTATTTAGTTGGTCAACCGGCTAGGTAATTAACTGCTTTCAGCCAAAATCCCCACATAAAATTGATATCAGATGCTTGAACACTTTTTTTAAAGACAAATGCTGTTTTGTAACCCCTTTATTGTAGTGAAACATTCAAAAACACTTTTCAGAGACATCATCGGGTTTTTGAAAAATTGCTACTGAGACAAATAAAGCGTCATTTGCAGAGTTGATCAAAAATTTGTTCAGTGAAGTCAGTTTTAGAGAGACCGTAAAAGGAGAGGAGCAAATTGAAGAGGTGGAAGGTATAGGGACAGAACTCCAGAGTTTAGAACTTGCATCTGTAGTGGAACAATCAATGCCTTAAATGCATTGAAGTCCCTACTCAGATGCCCTCTTGTGGTGTACTGGTAGTGTCCCTACCCTGGACCAGGAGGCCCCCCGTTCAAATCCCACATGTTCAAGAGGTGTGTAATAACATCTCTGAACAGGTTGATTAGAAAAATTAAATAGAGGGATACAAAGTTCTTAGAAGATCACATAGCTGGAGCAAGTTACACAAAAAGGAATTGGCAGGGCCATGGGAGGTTTGAAAACAAGGATGGACATATTAAATAGATTCGGAGCTATTAGTGACCACAGCCGTGCTGATAGACCAGAACTGGGTGATGATGATGATGCAAACTGAATTTGGATTTGTCCCTAAGATGAGCAGCTGAACTGATTTGGCCAAAGCATATATAGTCTTTCACTTTGCAATTTCAACTATGGTCAGAATTCAGATGCATAATCAAAACAAATTCTTAAATTTCCTTATTGAACTGTACTAATTGCACAGGCTCTTTACCTGGAGATGAATCATACTTATCCATGTCATTAGATTAAAGAGGTACAATTAATTATTAGCATTTCCTCTTTAAGCACAATTATTTTCAATGATTAGAAAGCAGCAATTTGTTTATTAATCAAAAATAGTGTGATGCATTATCACATTCTATAATGGGATTCCCAAGATTGGACATGCTACTTTAATTCTGATTATCAGCTAATAGTTATTTTTGAAAATGTCATTTTACTATTGTTTGCCAAGCTCCGATCTTTAAAAGTTAAATACAATTGCCTTTTCCAATGTTTTTATCAACTTGCAATAATACGTGAGAAATTCTATTCATTCGCATTTGATACTGTATTTGTATTAAAGTACATATTCCTATTCCTTTTTATGTATCTCAGTGTAATACTTCACAATTAGTTGTTGAAGTACACCTGTTTATTCAACCTGTCAATCTGTTTGTACTTTTCTTAAATCTTCTACAGTCCTCCTCACAGTTTACCTATTTGTTACATCATACATTTTGAGACCAACTTTATTTTCCTAGGGCAATTCAGCATGGACAATTAATACTGCTTTGCTAGTGTTGCCCATATCCAAAGGATAATATACTAAACGTTTCTTTTTTGCTTTTAACTGAATTCTGAAAGGGATGCCATGTAAAAAAAAGTTAGTTGATGAAGATGTCAACTGCAGTTTGCTGTAACTGGAAATACCCAGAAGTAATTGCCTCATAGCACTGAGCAAAAGAATAATCTGCCCAACTGTCTTTCTGGTTTAACTGGTCAATGGTGAACTTATGAGACTGAGTGTCATAGCAATAAACACAGTGTCATTTTGAACAAAACAGCTATAAGGACATTCTGATTTCACTCATTTCCGTCCCAAGCTTCATTGCAACCACCACTTACCTCTCCCAGTCCCAACTGTCAAAATTCTGATTTATTTTCACAATTTTTGTAGTTTTCTCTAGTTGTATGCTTTCCCTTTAGTCCCCACTGGTCAGAAATCAGATTGTGATTCACATTCCAGTTGTTCGTCAGAGTACAATATCTCTCCTGTTCGGCCCTTGCTCCTTGAAATGCTCTCTAAAAACAGTTCACTAACATGTCTCCACATCTCCTTAAAATACATTTATTAGATTCCTACAATCTGCTTCCACTTCCTACTCAACAGGTTTGTAAAATGAGTAGGGACTTCCTTTGATGTGAGAGTTGTTATGTTATAAGCTTCTTGTTATCATTCATCAATCTCCCTAACAATTAAGCAAATATATAAACCACATTCATTGAGACCAAATCAATTCTTCCCAGAATATGATTCCACCTCCTTGTGTTTAAATTCAATATTGTTTTCCTGATTTCTCACCTATTTTTTCTTTCTTCTCGTGCATATCTTGTATTTTAGGCCCCATCTCATGTTTGTCTTCTACCTTAGAACCCTTCTTGTACATGTCTTGTATCTTTGGGCCCTTGTCATGTTTATCTTCTATCTCTGGACCCTCATGTTTTTCTTGAATTTTTGGGCCCTTTTCATGCATGTCTTGCATCTTTAGGCCCTTATCATGCTTATCTTTATTCTTTGGGCCCTCCTCGTATATATCTTGTACCTTTAGGCTTCTGAGATTAGACTTGCTTGTCCGTTCTGCATTTACCTCCTTTGGTGTATCTGGTACTATGCATGGCAAATTATAATAGCCAGTGGGTAGCAGGTGTCTGTTAAGCACAGCATCACAACTTAGTAAAGTGTCACGTGCGAGCTGAGATGTCTCATGCTTGCCATCCCAGCGTGCACTGCTGTCTGTTAGTCCATCAATGTTACCACTTTGTTCAGGAAACACACCATGAGGCACTCCTCCTCCTAGAGTTAAATAAAGTAATTAATCAGGCATTCATGAATAGATCAGTTTGTGCAAAAAGATATACTTCATTTTTTCAAGGATGAAGAAATGAAGACAAACACGCCATATAAAAAACAAGGAAAGAGGTACAAGAATGTTTTGCTCAAAGTTTAACATAGCAACAAGCAAAGCCCAAAACAATGAGTAAGATGCATTTGTTCCTATAACAGACAATGCTCTGACGACCAACACATTCAGAAGCAAAAGAGTATAAAACTTAAACAAAGGCAATTTTTGCACTTGTTAAACAGAATATTGTTTATTTTGATACATCTGATGAAATTTAGAGGCTTTGAATAATTGCTTTAAAATTATGAGAACCTGTTTAATATGTCTTTTCTCCATAAAATAAAATGGTTTATGTCATATTATGTAAATATCATAATTCCAGTTCATAATTCTCATATCTAACATGAATAGCATTCAACTTAATTCTTTGAATGCCTGTCAATTTATTTAATCCTCATTGGACAAATGATTGAGTTTTTCCCTTTCTAAAGTATGTTTTTTTACTTTCATGCTTCACTAAACCTATTGCACAAAAACTTTCTCTCTTAAAAAGGAATTCTGCCCAAACGCACCGTAACAAAACAATTCTCTGCACCCCTTGACTTAGTTTCCCACTCATCCCATTGCAAACCTGTAAAAATAAATTTCAACACATTATTACAAATTGACAAAAAATAAGCTGCAAACTAACCTCTAAAGTATTCAATTCAATACCTAGTACCTCCCTCTATTTCCCAAGCAAAATTAACAACCTGGATGGATTAAAAATACATCCGCCCTGGTTAATAAATGCTATTGATCCACTTGCACTTGTGTAATTCATCTTCTGACATCCTTTGGCTGACATGAAAATTATATATGCAGTAGCAACAGCAGCTTACTTTAACGTAGGAAAACATCACAATGTACTTCACAGGAGTACAACCTGACAAAAGGCCAATAAGTGGTTTTGATAATACCTCCCCACTTTCCTGTCCACCAACATCCCACACTTTCCATGGTCCTTCTCATTGCTCTTCACAAAACCCTAACACTAGCTGCACTGCAATCTCTTGCTTGATCACCCTTCCAGGTCCTACTATGACAGATCATCAGAGTGAAAGGCATCAATTGTGCTCAGTGAAAGCAAAAGAATACATTTCAATGAGATCACTGGAATAACAAGAGAAAGCACCAGGTATGAGGAAGACAAGTACAGGGAGGTAAATACCCAGATAAATGATTACTCTTTAGAGACACAGGAAGAAAGTAACAAATAGACAACCCCAGAAGTAAGCATCAGAGTAGCTGAGACAGTAACAAGAGAACAAAAACAAAAAAGAGACATGAAAGGTACAGGAAGCATATCTGTAGACTCATGAAGACTAATGGAAATGTGACCATACACAAAAAGAGCTAAAAACAGACAGTCTGAAACTGATCTTTATCAGTTCATAGAATCCCTAGGGTGCAGATAGAGGCCATTCAAGACTGTGCCCACCCTCTAAAGAGTATCCCACCTAACCCCAAACTCCCATCCTTAACTGCGTAACCCTGCATTTCTCATGGCTAATCCACCTAGCCTACCTACTCCTGGACTCTGAGGCAATGGCCAATCCACCTAACCTGCACATCTTTGGATAGTGGGAGGAGCCCAGAGCACCCGGAAGAAACCCAGGCATACACAGAGAAAATGTGCAAACTCCACACAGTCACCCAAGGCTGGAATCAAAGTTGGGTGCCTGGCACTGTGAGGCAGCAGAGCTAACCATCAACCATCATGCCACCCCAAACATAAAACATTTAACAAATTAGCAGTCTGTTTTTCATCAAGCTTGACTTTTTTATTTATTCATTCACAGGATGGGGGCATCACTGGCCAGGCAGCATTTATTGCCCATCCCTAATTGCCTAGAGGGCAGTTAAGAGGCAATCACATTGCTGTGGGTCTAGAGTCACATGTAGGCCAGACCAGGTAAGGATGGAAGTTTTCTTCTCTAAAGGACATTAGTGAACCAGATGGATTTTTCCAACAATCAACAATGGATTCACGGTCATCATTTGACTCTTAATTCCAGATATTTATTGAATTCAAATTCCACCATCTGCTGTGGCAGGATTTGAACCCAGGTCCCCAGAAAGTTATCTGGGTCTCTGGATTAATAGTCCAGCAATAATACCACTAGGCCATCCCTACTTCCCTTTCAATCAACTGCATGGACTTCAATTTGCTGCAAGCAGGCTTTGCACTGCTGGGCAAGATCAATTTCATTCACAGGGAAAGTGGGAAAGTAACAGTGAGAGATATAAGTGAAAAAAAAATAATAGAGATTGAGAGAAACAAAGGGATAGCATACCAAAGAGATACAATGAGGAAGAAATAAACAGACCTGCAGTACTTATTGAAAACCCTTCCATTAGCCTGTCAGCCCTGAAACTCATCCCTAACTGATCCTTCTCCAACAAATAAAGTCCACAACAATAAGTGCAACACCTAAAATCACCTTTCTAAAGTAAAATCACCACGGCCTTACCAAACTAAAGGGTTGCTCTCTCATTACACAGAGATTTTAACTTGAGAATCACCATACCTCAGGTAAAAGGAGAGGTTGAGAAGGCAAGTCCTATCAGGGTAACCTCAATTGGAGCAGGAATTGAACCCACGCTGGGAGCAATGCTCTATATTGCTAACCAGCTGTCTAGCTAACTGACACCCCAAATCCTAAATGAAAAATATATCAACATTACCAGCTCTGTAAAGGCAAGAGGTATGGAATTCTATGCATCAAAACTATTTGTGAGAAAAACGATTTGACCAATGAAGAAAATAAGTTGTTTCAGTAATTTATTTAGGCCATTTAAATAGCTGTACTTATACAGTAATACAATGCCATCTGATCATAGCAATTATCCCTTTGTTTTAGGACCCAACATAGGCTTCACAAGTTGTTCAGTAAACTAATTTTTGATTTGAACTGGAAATGGGTGGAAGGATTTCTATCATCATTAATATTTAAATACATATCATTTAGACTTTGAAAACACTGATCGATTTAGTTAAACTCAAAGGAAAAATACTAAATGACGATGAGTAAGCGGTGCACAGATTAGTTTTTGATAAATGCAGGGTTTTGCATCGTGGCCATTTCACATATCTAAGGAACTTGTATATTTGCTTACAGGAGACAATCGGTTAAAAGCAGGCAGCAGCAGTCATAGAAACAGGCATTAAATGTGCTTTTGTATTGTTAAGTAGGCAACAAGCAAAAATTGTAGCAAACGCAGAACAGAAAAGAGCTAGGTGATTTTATTTGTATGAATAAGATGGTGGTGTTTTATGAGATACATTACATAATGCTGGAGCAAGGCACGAAATTGATGATTCAGGTAAGCTTTGGAACATATGACTGAGAAGCAGGCTGATGTGAGATTTCATACAGTGGATAATTGATAGTCTCAATGAGAAAAAATACGCTTTCCATGTGATACAGGCACAGTGCATGATCAGAACATCGAGTAAGGCATCATGGATGGTAAAGTGAAACAGGTGGTACTGTGAAAACAGTGACTCATTAATAACTGAGAAAACTCTGAAAGCAATAAATACATTTCCAAAGATAAATGATTATTTTTTGTAATTAAACAAATATCATTTTGAAACTAAGTAGATGAATTTTCAGATTAAATGTAGTTCAAAAATACATAAATAGATATTCAAAATTAAGTAAATGTATTTTTACAGGTAAATAAATGCACTTTCACAAATGACAGCTTCATATGACAACAGTTTAAATGTTATTACCTACCTAAAGCAGCTTTGACTTCCAAAGCCTCAGACTCATGTGAAAATTGACTAAGCCCGGCTGCATTTACAGCCCTAACTCGAAACTTGTATAACTGTCCAGTTTGTAGCCCATGACAAATAAATCTATAAAACAAAATACTTCATTTACAACATCAATCAATTATATACCACGGTAGTTTTTTATTTGTGCTCCAGTCAAAATTTTTGTATATATTATCTTGACTACAAGTATCAGGTATACAGGAAAAGTTTTCATTCAACAGAAAACTATACTACACAACAATGCTAAGTCTTCTTCCCATATTTCTGCCGCAATGAAATGAGAACTGAAATTACACAATTAAGGTGAAATAGAACTACTCAACGGTTTAATAACAGGGATTACCAACTCTGATGGAATGCAGTCCTGAAAGTCTGATCATGTAACATTGACTCATGTACCAATGTTATCGTGCTGGAGTAAGCATCTTGTGTTATGCCATATTATTTAGACATGCCTTGCATGTTTAGGATGTGGAGATGCCGGCGTTGCACTGAGGTGGACAAAGTCAGAAGTCACAAGATACTAGGTTATAGTCCAATAGGTTTATTTAAAATCACAAGCTTTTGGAGCACTGGTCCTTCATCAAGTGTATTTCACCATGTCACTGGCATTGAATATCCTATGCCATTTCGTGATTTTCATAAGTTCTCCTTCCTGACACATGGGGCTGAATTTTTTTCCCATTTGCAGTTAAAGTGTGATAGTGAATGAGTTACATTGTGCACAGCCTGCCATGACCCCATGGTGAATTTTCTCACACAATCTTCAGCTTTATACATCATAATAGCTGTTGAGTGTCATATGTCATACAAGGTGCGTTGAGGTCTCCGGGTCTGTACTCAATGGAGTTTAGAAGGATGAGGGGGGGATCTCATTGAAAGGTACAGAATACTGAGAGGCCTGGATAGAGTGGACTTGGAGAAGATGTTACTAGCAGTAGGAGAGATACGAGGGCGCAGCCTCAGAGTGAAGGGACGACCCTTTAGAACTGAGATGAGGAGGAAGTTCTTCAGCTAGCGGGTGGTAAATCTGTGGAAGTCATTGCCGCAGAAGCCTGTGGAGGCCAAATAATTGAGTGTCTTCAAGGCAGAGATAGATATATTTTAGATTAGTAAGGGGATCAAGCGTTACAGGGAGCAGGCAGAAGAATAGAGTTGGGAAACATATCAGCCATGATCAAACGGCAGAGCGGACTCGATGAGCTGAAAGGCTTATTTCTGCTTCTACATCTTATAGTCTTAGGAAGTGAGTTTCTCAGGGAAATCACATGGCAAATTGCTCACCACTGCTGGGACATTCCAGCTTACATACCTCATATTGTTTTTTTAATGTCAAGCTGCAGACTACTTCAGATACTGCAAGCCAGGAAATACTTCTCAAACTGTGGCACTTCACCCTGAAGTTTGAAAATGTCTTAAGAGTAAAAGCAAGTTAGCTCCCTGCATCCAGGACAAGGATCAAGAGGTGCTGATAGATGGAAAGCTGACTGTTCACTGCCAAAGATGGCCAGGCCACCAGACATAGCCAGCCTGGGCCTGGACCTGGACAGAATTTTCAGTGCAGGTCAGTGCTGAGTCCGAGTGAAGTAGGAAGCCCAGAGTCAATGTTTGTCCGTGATCGGGAAAAACATGTGCCACCAAGGTCTCTCACTGCTACATCACACTCACAGGGCCACCACTCACTAACTCTGCCACTGCACATGCATCTCATCAAGGCTCAAGGGCTACAGATACATCATTACTATCACTAACTCTCACCTAAGTCATCCTTCTAAACTACTCATGGTTTCTGATTTCCTCATCCTTCACTGGGGACACCTCACCAACTCATCTGTTCATGCATCACCACTAACCATTCTTGCACTCATCTTCATTTTACTCAATCCATCTCTTCATCACATTGTGAGAAAACCTGGCCTTTAACTGGACAGAGAAGGCCAAGACTGGTGGAGGGATGCCAGACAACAAACTCCTCACTCCCCAGGAGGAGAAAATACTAGATTTGGCAGGAGAAGAGCACAGCAGCTCAAGCGTGGATGGAGAGACAAGGCAACTGACTCCGTGCTACGCTGTACTCCCATTGCCACCAGCGCTAACTCATTCTTAACCTGGATAAGATTTTATCCGACTTCTAAAACTAATCCCTTCTCATCTCTTATGCAGACACCCAGGGAACCTCAGCTAAGAAGCCAGTGCCCACAGACCCTCAGGTCCACCTCCACCTCGGAGGAGGAGGCCTGTACAACTGAGCAGTGGGCAGTCACACTGAGGGTCTACACATGCCAACGCATTCATGACCATTTTCTCTTGAAAGTTTACAAAGAAAGGGAAAAGTTTTCTAGATTACTTTCTGTTCAAATTATTCCACCAGTTTTCGCTTGAAAAAGATGGCAATTAAAAGAAAAACCGAAAAATCCTGCCAAAGGAGAAAAAATTATGTTTCCTTTCCCTGAAGCCACTGGTCATGTCATTTATGTTAAGGACTTATATACTGTTCCACTCTTATTAAGGGAGGCTTCAAAACAGCCAGAGATCAGTGTTGTACTGCTTGGCCCTGCCAATATGTTTTCAATTTCTCTTGATTAGATGAGGTCTTGTGATTCCCTGTCCTTGCAAAATAGAAGGAAATTTAATGAAATAAAATGAAAAATCTCAAGCAAACATGATGCCTTGTGCAGAACCAGCAACAATGTTCGCAGTTATTCCAGGCCTTTTCTCCATTTATGACATGGTATATCCTGTATATTGAAGTCTTCAGATATGAAGAGCAGTGGAGAAAGAATACATATATAAAGGACAAAACATACCTCGTCCTCAAATATGTCTTGTTGCTTTTTCTGTTTTTAATTCACATACATGTGCCAAGTGGATTTTTGTGATATCTGCATCCCTAGGGTGCTGCTGCCAGGTTTAAAGTGCAACAAGACTATTTCAATGCCTATGGACAAATTCTGGATCAGTCTCTTCATACACACCCATTCTCTCTCATGCATTCGTTTTGATTCTGCCTTATTCTTTCCTCTGCTTCATTTATGTAAGACTCTCTAATAGCCTTCAGCACTACCTTTTGCCTTTCACTGGTTTGTTGTTGCATGGTTCCCATTTTCCAGATCCACTGATGCTTGCTTCAATGTAGTACCCAACTAATTCCTTTGCATCTTTTGACTCTTCCCAAGTGACAACTACAGAAGTGTCTGTGTTTCTTGAAGGCACAACATGACTTGGAGCTTTTGGAACATCTGAAAGACAAAAGACAAAAAATTAGCAAGTATTGAAATAAACATGGCTATTTTGACTGTTCTAGAGGCTGTACAGCCTGTATGAGTGACCATTGTTTGACAATAATTGTGAGCTGTAGGTTTTTTTTTGCGTTTAGTTTAAAAGGAATACCCTAGAATAAACAAAAAACTTTGAAGCTTCATCCTTCAGAATTTGTAGAGAAAATGTAAGCTTTCTTGTCTCTCAGACCCAATGTAATCTGTTTCTTGAGGAGTTTGACACCACATGGGTAATATTGAGCAGCAGCAGTAAAAAGAAGAGTGACTAAGATTTAAGCTGTACACTTAAGAAGATAAATCATAGGGACTGATAATTAATAACGTGCAAGCTGCTAATTCAACCCTCATCTGTATTTTGTACAAATCTGTGCAGGGAATGGTGACATCCTGGTAAACAATTATTATAAGGTAACATAGGAAAGCAGGCATGACAAGTGGGTATATGGTCGTGTCTAATTCATACTTACCAAGTTTGTCTGTGACTTCAGTAAATTCTGTTGGCTCAGAAGGCTCACCAATGCCAGCAGAATTAGCAGAACGGACACGGAAACGATACGATTTACCCTCAGCCAGATCAAACAATGCAAATCGTGGAGACTTCACAGGGATCTCTGGGTTAACCCTTTGCCAGTCCTCGGTGCCTGCAACACACTAATCCAAACAAGCAAGGAAAGGGCTAATGAGCATTAAAAAAATTAATGAATAAGGCTATAGTTAAATAGCTATTGGAAGGCAGAGTGCTTTCAATTGTATCAGTTGATGGCTCACTTAGGTTTGAATGTTCCCTGTAAGCACTGACACTGGTGAATCTGCTGGGATCAGACTCATTTATATGTTGCTAGGAAACTCCTAATGATAGTTGTACTGTGACTGGGTTGGTTGCTTTAGCTGGGTAGGTAGGAAGAGGAATGATGGTTCATTCTGCTTGTAGAAGGACAAAAATAGATATGTCATAATGATGACATCATGTACAAGTGACACAATGATTTAGATACACTTAACAGCATATCATTCATCTGTAAACAACTGTAGAAGTCATTATCAATATTTCAGAGACATCTTGTGGTGCTAAATAAAAGCTGTAGTAAGATATTCAAATTGGAAGATTATACACTTGTCTATTATTAGTTCTATCTACGAAAAATGGGGGATTGAAGGTTGACTTGGCGTGGATATTACACTAGTTTCCTTTGTGTTAAAATCCACTGTAAAACCATTTTAGGAACGATGGTAATCTAATGCATCAAGTACGCAGAGAAGAACATTGATGAATACCCACATAGTTATATCTAAGTTCAGCATTCTGTAAAGCTTGGCTGGAATTTTCTTTAATGGTTTAATTCCTGGTATTAAGGGCTTATTACCAGGCATAGGCTGATATTTAACAGCATAATTTTACACATACATTTGAAAGCGATTTGGGAATTGTGTTATGTACTTTCACATGCATCTTGAGGTGTTTACCTTTTCGACATAATACATGATTCCTTCATGGCCACGTTGACCAGGAGGCTTCCAGCTAAGGACCACATAATTCCTCGTGGCCTCAGTCACAGCAAGTTCTGTAGGTTGTCCAGGCACTACACCCTCTGTTGGGATATAAGGGGACAGCAACTCTGTACTTCAGAGGTGGGAAACACTCAAGAATTTCTTTTCTTGATCATCATTTTGAGAAAGTCAATGATGCTGCTAGGCTCAAAATTCCTGCAAACATCCACGGCCTAAATAGACCTGCTCAAATACAATGGAACTTTACCACACTGGTCTTCCGCCTGTCACTTGCTTGTACTCCTGATGCTTGTCAATTTGCTGACCTCAATGTATTTACATATGAAAAACAAATGCCAGACCCATTTATAGTGTAACTGGGCTGCCCAGGTTGGAGTGGAGACTGGGGAAATCTGTGATGAAGAAGACTAGGAAAATGCTGCTGTGTTGTACGGTATGAAGATTTTTAAAAAATTAAATGAACATGTAAATTTTTACAATTTCTACTTTCACGAAGGTTATTAATCAAGAGCAATCAAGTGCTTTGTCAAAGTGGGCCTTCAAAACATCCTTTACTCTTTCTTCATATTACCAGTTTCAGGAACACTTCTTTAGGTCTAATGAAAAGTAATGTAGGCCATTGCATCCACTTTGATAATCACAACCTTCCCTGGGACTTTAATCTCAGTTGACATATCCCAGCCCAAATTCAGCAAGCTTGATCAAGAGCTTGTTTGGTGCCCATTTGGCACCAGTAAGTTGTCAGTTTAAGATAAATGAAATCCAGGACTTCCAACTGTTCTGGATTCTTTCTTATGAGATTGGGCACTAGGCTTACTCCACCAGTCACCTGTCAAAAATTAAAATCTCCCTAAACTATAACTGCTAACACCCATCCTCACAAGTTTACTGATACAGGAAAAAAATGGAAAATACATGGTTACAGAGAAAAATATTTTGATTGATTCCAAATCGTTGCAGGTTAAGTGTGATCTCAGCAGATTAATACACTTAGAAAAAGATGCATTCTTTACCTGTTGGTTCTTCTTCTGTTACAATAATCTGTCCTGTCCATGGGGCTAATGGGATTCCTGATAATTAAATAATACAAAAAGATAAAATATTGTTTTCAGTAAGCCTTGAGATCAATTTAATTTTTTTGTATTGTGTCAGAAAAGGTAGGAGGGAGGAGTTCAACATACCCCAAAAAATGGACACAGTTAACAGAATTCTTTTAAAAAAAACCTATTAGATGCATTTTTCAACAACAGGCCGTATTTTTGAGAGGGTGACTGATATGGTGGCTGAGAGAAATAAGGTGGATGTGGTGTACATAGACTTTCAGAAATTCTTTGCCTAGGTTATCCACTGGTAACTATTGGAGAAAGTTAAAGAAGGAGGAATTCAAGAAAAGTAAGGAGAGTAGATTAAAAACTGTTCAGAAGGAAAAAAATAATGAGTTTACAACAGTTTATTTAGGGTTTATTTTAATTTATCTGAGTAGGCATTAGCAGAGATGGTGACTTGGATATCAAATTCTGTTGCAGGACAGATCAATGGATTCACTTCCTCCTCCATAAAATAGAAATTAGCCCGACTCAGTGAAACTTTCCTTACACTGGGAAGTTTCACACTGTGGAGAAAATGGGCCTTGATGCATTGCATTCTTTCCCACCAAGAATAAAATCAACCCTAGTCAAAGCCACCTTACCCTTTTCTGTACCTTGACTGTCCTTGTGCAACTTAATGATAAATCAAACAGCACTGATAGGCACCTTGTTTACAATAGTTTTGAGATTTTAGACAAGACGCCAGATATATTACCAACATCACTCTGCACCAGACACCAGACTGCATGATGCATCCTTCTTTGCTTCTTCTTCTTCTATCATTAAGGGAGATTTACCCTCAGCCGAATTCATCAGACTTGGGATCTTATTTGCATTGGAGATCAAATCTACATGCCACTGTTGGGCACCAGATCTTGTCACTCCAATATATTAAGCTACTAAATTGCAGAGGATTACCTCAATTCTGGTGTGCTTTACTTTCCCTTTCTATCACATTGCATGCGACCCAGGTCAATTTTGAGTAGCAAACATTGGATTTACTATTTTGATCCGTTGTGTTGAATGTTAAGAGTTTGTCAAACATGAGGTATTTAAGGAGCCGCTCTTTAAAGACTTCCTCCCTAAGAGTAAGCATTAACAGAAGAAAAAGGCATACCCTTCAACCTTGCTCTATCAGAAGGATCCAAAGCTGCAACAGGTTCAGATATACGGGATGGCCTGCTAATTCCAACATTATTGATAGCACGCACACGGAAGATGTAGGAACGACCTTCCACCAACCCAGTGACAGGAAAGCGGGCAAACTTCACTGGAGTATCATTACACTGAACCCAATGATTGGTTCCTACTTCACATCTGTAGGAAAAGGGATGAGTTGTTTGAACAAATATAAAAAGTGGAGCAAGTTAGTTACCATTCTTACAATTACAAAACATTTTTACAGCTTACTGCCATCACTATTACACAAAAGCATTATAAGTTAATGTCGTGCATTACATGTAGTGTACTTAAGTTCAGTCTAACTATAATTTTTTTAGTGCTGCTTGGAGATTTCCACCTATTTGTTTTTCTTTCCTTTTACCTTAGTCTTTGGTCTTGTAGCCAAGAGTACATTTTCATTTGGAACATTAGAAAATAAAGAGCAATGCTACAAGGGTCTACTGTTGGGAAAAGTGTGTTTAGTGCTAGTGAGAATTGGAAATTGGGACTGTAGTGACACAGGTGTATCACTGATTGGAAGATTCAAGATGGTATATTATAAGAAGAATGGAGCAGAAGGTGTATTATTAATCAGTTCATTTACAACGTAATCTTGCACAAGTGAGATTTTCCACTCACTATAAGCTTGCAACCAAAAAACTCGGAAATGAAATTTTGTATTAGTCACAAAGCTGGAATATATTAAATGTGGTATATGGAGAGCTCTTGCTGTAACTCCTGCAGGTGGTGATGTGATGTGTGTTTTCAATGTTAATGGGGGATTTTTTTGGTGAGAGTATTTCACCCAATGGTGAAATAGTCCAGCTACCAACTCCATTAAGTTGCTAAAATGTTTTCTGAATTATTTTATTGTTTTTTTCCCTAATAACCAAAATTTCTACATATTTTGTTGTTTACAAAACTCCTATCCTAAAAACAGCCTGTAACCATTAGTAATTCTTTTCTCTAGCATATGACCAAGACACCTCCCGTGATTCACATAAAAAGGACAGTAAGTTAAGACAGACAACAACAGGAAATGGCAGAAGATAATCAAAGAATTAAGAGAGAGAACAGAAATGAAGGCATGGAACCTTTTGCCATGTGTTTTTAGGGCCACACCTGAGAATTTATGTTCAGTGCAGACTGGCTGGGGAGAAGGCGAGGTCAAGAACTGCCTTCAAGCTTAGGCTCTGTAGAATCTTATTTATTGCATATGAATGCTATATACAACAATTCCAAGAGATACCAGTTTCAGAACTTATGGTTACATTATTAAAAGCTTGTTATCTACATTCTAACAATTTTCCGTCGTTGATTTAGCTTCTTTCTATATGGCTTAAATAGACCATCTGTGCTATTTATTCCAAGTAGAAAACAGCGCTGTGACATCATCGTCATAATGTGACAAATGAGTGCAACATGTAAGTTTGCTGATAATACAAAATTAGTTTGGCTAGTAAGTTTTGAGTTGGAAGGCTAAAAAGAAATATAGACACATTAAATGAATGAGCAAGAACATGGCAGATGGAAAAGTTTCCTTCACTTTTGAGGTGAAAACAGAATATTTTCTAAATAGTGAGAGACTGAGAATTTTGGTATTCAATGGGACCTGGATGTCCTTGTGCATGAATCACAGAAAGTTAACAAGCAAGTACAGCGCATGATTAGAAAAGCAAATGGTAAGTTTGACTTTATTAGTAAGGAATTTGAGAATAAGAATTAAAGTCTTGATACAATTATACAGAGTTTTGGTGCGACCATACCTAGAGTATTGTGCACACTTATGGTCTCTTTACCAAAGGAAGAATATATAAGACTTAAATGGATGTAGCAACAAAGATTCACTGGGTGGATTCATGTGAAGATAAGGTTGTCGTTTAAGAGACTAAGCCGGAACTCCTTGAAATTAGAAGAATGAGAGATGATCTTAATAAAAACTATTAAATTCTGAAGAGGCTTAATGGAGTAAATGCTGAGAGGTTGTCTCCGAGGCTTGGGAATCTAGTCTAGAAGTTACAGAGTGACATTTTGGATTGAGACAAAAAGACATTTCTTTGCTCAAAGTGCTCTCTATCCCAGAGGACAGTGAATACCCAATTACTGAATGAATTCAATTTAGCAATCTGTATATTTTTTGATCCTGAGGGAATTAAGGGATATGGAGATTGTGCAAAACGGTGAATTGAGGGGACAGATCAGCTTTAGTTGCATTGACTGGCATCACAGGCTGAAGAACCAACTGGCCAATTCCTGATTTTATTTCTTGTAATCTATGCTCTTAAAAGAGAGCAACAGGAGAGAAGCGACAGAGGGAGAAATAACAAAGCACAATGACAAAATGACTAAGTTCTCTGATTTGCCATGATTAATGGCATGAGAGAACAACTAAAATATGAATAAAGTTAAATATTTACTGTGTTTCTCTGTTCATCATTGGATTAAGTAACTTTATACATAACAACATGCTGTTATACTTTACCCACTCCATTTGATGTGATCAGTACTCTCCTGGAGCCCACCAATGTTGAAATGTAAGGAAAAAAAGTTCTTTTATTAGGATGTTGGAGGGGGGATGCTGATATTCAGTATTCAGGCAACTTTACTCTGATATGAATCAAAGACTTCAGAAGAGGAGGAAAGAAACTAACAAAAAAAATTCTGCCTTTGCACAATTAGTGTAATTCAATTAGAACCTAAAATGAATGCAGTGAAAAACAGTGAGTGACCTCTCACCTGTCAACAAAATAACCAAGGATGGAGCTTCCACCATCAATTGCTGGTTGTTTCCAGGTTACAATGACATAATCTTTATTGGCATCTAAACAATAAACATCCAAAGGAGCTCCTGGGGCACCTGCAACCTCTGCATCAGCATCTGAAAATGAGACACAGCTTTCTGATTACACTGGCTACATTAGTTGGTCAGTTCCCACCAAACAATAGTTTCTCTGACTCCTGACAGATTCAGCTGCAACGTAGCAAGAAAACTTAAGCCACCGTCAAGTAAAATAGACTTAACAGATCAGCAAAATAAAATGGAGGACACAACACACTCTGCCTAACTCAAGGCAGAATCACAGCTGGCATATCAAAGTGCAAGGAGTTGATAACCAGTTTTATCTGACAGCAAGGCATTTCTCTTGCAAAGACAATAGCACTAACAGGAGATAGTAGGAACTGCAGATGCTGGAGAATCCGAGACAACAAGGTGCAGGGCTGGATGAACACAGCAGGCCAAGCAGCATCATAGGAGCAGAGAGGCTGACGTTTCGGGCCTAGACCCTTCATCAGAAAAGGGGGAGGGGAAGGGGGTTTTGAAATAAATAGGGAGAGAGTGGGAGGCGGATAGAAGAGGGATAGAGGAGAGGATAGGTGGAGAGGAAACAAACAGGTCAAAGAGGCGGGGATGGAGCCAGTAAAGGTGAGTGTAGGTAGGGAGTTAGGAAGGGGATAGGTCAGTCCAGGGAGGACGGACAGGTCAAGGGGGCGGGATGAGGTTGGTCGGTAGGAGATGGAGGTGCGGCTTGAGGTGGGAAGAGGGGATAGGTGGGAGGAAGAACAGGTTAGGGAGGCAGGGACGAGCTGGACTGGTTTTGGGATGCGGTAGGGGGAGGGGAGATTTTGAAACTTGTGAAATCCACATTGATACCATTGGGCTGCAGGGTTCCCAAGCGGAATATGAGTTGCTGTTCCTGCAACCTTCTGGTGGCATCGTTGTGGCACTGCAGGAGGCCCAGGATGGACATGTGGTCTGAGGAATGGGAGGGGGAGTTGAAATGGTTCGCGACTGGGAGGTACAGTTGTTTATTGCGAACCGAGCGTATGTGTTTATCAGATAATGGAAGCCTGTTCAATAGTTAAACACACACTTTCTTACTAGAAGGACATCAGCTAGGGCCACTTCCCTGCTCTTGGTTTGTTTGTTGCAACCTTGGTGGTGTCAGAGGTGTAACAATTACTCGCAGTGCTCCTACTTAAATGGTAAGGTCACTTGACAGAAAACAGGTTCTCATTATTCAGTAATTCCTATCGCTAAATGCATGATACCTACAGCAGGGAAGCTGGCTTGTCGATACTGTTCAGATTCTCAAATGACGTATGGTCTGTTGTGTTCAGTTGTGCACATACCTCTGACAAACACGTATGCGCTATGAAGTTCATAGCCAGATTTTGTCAACACACGAATAGTGTACAATCCCTCATCCTCCTTATTTAGGTGAGTAAAAGTCAGCGTAGCAGTTTCACCACTCCAGTGCATCTCAACCCACTTGGATGGCTGTAATTGAACTCCTGGTAAGGAAAATGAAGAAGAGTAGAAATGTAAGTGTGGGCCAGGTATTGAGATTAAGTCAAAGAGAATATAATCACTAGAGGTTTTAAAATTATTGTATTTATATGCATAGTTGGCATTCTTTGTAAATGTCATTTTTTGCTACAACTTATGATGGCTAAACATAATTACTTAGGTTGACATGATTAAGAACAGTTAAAGCAACAAACTCCCTGAAAAAAAACAGGGTATTTTAAGCAGCCTGCATCAAAATATAACGTTCAGGGCTTAGGAATTGTGCAAACCTGTAGCAATATCAACAAATATGAGGCCATCTATTTCAGACATTAAAAGGAAAGAACAGAGTAAATTGTGAAAAACTACAAGCAGTGGAGACTGAAACAACACTCAACCATCTAGGATAAAGCAGCCCACTTGATTGGCACTGAATCCACAACCATCCACTCCCTCTTCCATCGACACTCAGTAACAGCAGCGTGTCCTGTCCACAAGATACACTGCAGAAATTTACATAATATCCTTGGACAACACCTTCCAAACTTATGGCCAATACCATCTAGAAGGACAAAAGCGGCAGATACATGGGAACACCACCCCCTGCAAGTTCCCTTCTAAGTCACTGACCATCCTGGCTTGGAAATATATCACCGTTCCTTTATTATCACTGGGTCAAAGTCCTGGAATTCAACCCTAACAGCATTGTGAGTCAAACTACAGCACATTGACTGCAGTGGTTCAAGAAGGTAGCTCACTACTACCTTCACAAAGACAAGTAGAGAAGTGCAATAAATGCTGGCTCAGCCAACAACACCTGCGCCATGAGTGAATAATTTTTTTTTTAAAATGACATGGAAGTCCAAGGATACAGAAATCAAATAGCCACCCATAGATGGTGTGCCATCTCAATAAAATGGCTTGAGCCAATATAACACAAATATTAACCCTTTGAGAACCACTATGTTGAACAACAGAGCAAGTGAGAGAAAGGAAACGATAGGAGTGCTCTAATTGTTTGATCAAAATTTATTAATAACTTTTTCCAGTTCTGTGGAAAGTTCTAGACCCTAAAATGTTAACTATTTCTCATTCTGTGGTTGCTGTCAGACCTGATGAATATCTCACAGAGTCATATATAACACATTTGGATTATCTGTCCATGGTGGCTCCCCATCACAGAAATCCAGACAGTCCCATTCCACCATTCTATACTGTAATCCTGAAAGTTTGTTTTCCTTGAGTCATCAACCAATTTTTTTTTTGAACGTTGATTGTTTTCACTACTATCACACTTATGGACAATGAATTCCAGGTCTTCACCATTCTCTTCATGAATTCCCCCTGCATGGCCTGCCCAGAACCTTAAATCTGTATCCCCTAGTCCTTGTGGAGTCAGCTAATGGAAACAGTTTTTCCTTGTCTATCTTATTCAAACCTGTATTATTCTTGAATATTTCAATCAATTTGCTCTTCAGTCTTCTTAGTGACATGAAAGTGAACAATCCCAGCTTTGTCAACCTAATTCTGTAAATAAATTCTCCCATACCCGAAACATTCTGATAAATTTATTCTGCACCCTCTTAAGAACCTTCACATCCCTCTTAAAATGGGCTGGTCAGCACTCAACTCAATACTCCATTTCAGGCCTAACCAGCACTTTATAAAGGTTCAGCATATCCTGCTTGCTTTTTATTCAAGCCTCCACTTATGAATTCCAGTTTTCTATACACTTTGCTAATCACTTTCTCAATATGTCCCACCACCTTCAAAAACAATAGCTCAAAGATTTATGCACATGCACTTCCTGTTCCTGCACACTCTTTTGAAATGTGCCACTGTTGATCATTGCTTTTCCATAGCCCTTCTATCAAAACATTTTATATTAGATCCCATTCCTGCCTCTCGCCTGCCCAAGCTGCAGTAATATTTTGCAGGCAGTTCACATATACGTCACTGTTTGCACTCCTCCAAATTTGGTATCATCAGCAAACTTTGAAATTCTACTCTATATTCCAAGATCCAAGTTATTTATGTATAACATAAGAAGGAGTGGTTCCCTAGGGAATTCCACAGTGTATCACCGTTCAGTCCAATTAAGGACAGCGAGCAGGCTGTCAAAACTGAAGGACCAATCACACACCTCCAAAAAGCAGTGGCAGGATATTCTTTTAGGTAAGTGAGAAGGTACTTTAAAACAGAAGTATTCTCTCTCCGACCTCTTCAAAACTCAAATTAAAAAACAGTCTTTATTGCCAGGCTACCATTTGGTAGAGAACTTTTACTACAGTGGCCTCCACATGCTGCTGGACCCAGAGCAGCAGGGAGGGCCTATAAGCCAGGCTGGAGTGCCAACCCTCAATCTGCTAGACTGAGGCCACTTCTAAGTAACTAAACTGACCTTCAATGCCCGCAGGAATCTGGGGAACTACTCAATCCCAATTTGCCTCCTTCAGTTGATGCTGAGTTGCCTCTTAATTAGTTTGATGGGCTACCCGCTATCCTGCTGCAAGAAATTTCCCAGAACTGGCACACTTCCTGGAGGTGCTATTGCTAATGTCCACTAAAATCCAATTTTGGCACTGTCAAGGAATTCATCCTCAGAGTATTTAATTTACTCACATGATCCCACACAGGTTAAAAGTTTGATTTCACTCATATCTAAGCTCACACATGAAGAATGCCCACGTGTGTGGTACTGGAATGGGTAATGGGGTGATGGAGCCAGATCAGAACATTACATGTGGAATAGTATACAATCAGTTTCACTGCTGTTAGGAAGGAGGAACAATCATTAAGGACCTTTTCTCAGCCTCTAGGTCTTTAGTTTCTTGCCAACTACGACGGATCATGGTTTCTCCAAGGCACAGCAAGCACTTACCGTTGCGCCACCACTGGATGTCAGGCTGGAATCGCTTTAGGTTAGGGTGAACGATGACAGTGCAACCCAAACTCATTGTGTCACCTTCCTTCCCAAATGACACATCGAACTTATCAACAAAGTGCACTTCAAACTTCATATGAGGGTCACCAGGGAAATAGCCATCTGTTTGGAAAGAAAAAAGTCTTCTTAGTTTTTTTTGACATTTTTCATTCACTGTTGTGTTTCTTTCTCTCGCAAGTAATTCTTGAGAGTAGCTCTTAATTACTTGGAACTGGGATATTTGGCAAAGAGCTAGTGATTAGCATTCTCCAGCTGTGATTATCGACTTTGGAAGGTTTGTGATTGGGTACAGGGTTTGCCAGATCTATCCAATGTGGGATATATTTTTAGGTTTATTTTCCATTCTCACAGTATTTGGCAATTACTGCAGTGAGTTAGCAAGGCTGAGGTTAGAACCAATTGTATCGATGTGGCATGAGCACATTTAAGAACTATCAAGTAAACTACTAGTTCTATTAGTAACGAGTCAGATTGATCACTTATTTATTATGGGGAGTTATGCACTCATTAACAGAATGTGCCCAAATTAATTTTGGCATGAGGTATTATTTATAAATTTATCACTTTTCTATTTTAGTTGATTTAGCTAAATAGAAATCCATGCATGCAAGATATCTGAATTTTGATAATATGTCATGGAACAGAAAAGAGACCCACATTAATCCCAGCTGTAAATGTAATACAGTATAATATTGTACAGTAAATGCAGATATAATAAAAGTAAATAAAATATAATATAACACCATTAGACTGTATAATAAATTAAACTATAATGATAATATTTTCATCATGTTAAAAATTCAGCTCTGAATGTACCGAGTTACAACAATCTCCAAAATAAAAACAGAAACTGTTGAAGAATTTGGCTGGGGAGGTCCCGCCTACCTGGAGTTGTCAGCCAATCAGAAACCAGCAGTATGATGGATATGACTACTGGAAAGACAATGCTGGCCAGAGTCCCAGATGGAGGACCAACAGTGAGACAGGTCAATGTTGTTCGGTGAAGGGCAGCCTTGGTGGTTTCTGGGCTATAGGGTATCTGGGACAGAGGGTAGGACTGACAGAACTAAGGGCGTGGGTTGGTTCTCAGTAGGCCACGGCTCCCCGCCCCCACTGTATGTTGAGTCCCTCAATCTTGAATAATTGAGTTCAGATCAAAGGAATCCCAGCCCCCCAAACTACCTGGAGTGTTATACCAGTCAGGGAGGTGACTTGATCTCATCTAGCCTGGTATTGAAGGGATTGTAATCTAAGTGGGATGAGGCATCAAGTGGCTGGGAAGGTTGACCATGGACCTTCTTGCTTCAAACTTAATTTCTGACATGGGAAGGTACTACCCAATTATTTGACCTTCCTGCCACCTTCCCTGCAACATTGAGGGAGAAGAAAATCCTAGCCAAAGATTTACATTTTCAATTTGTTTATTATTTAGAACTGGCAAAGTAAGGCTAAGGAAACCCTTTATATTGGCCTCAGTCTATATATTTTCAAAAATAGAAGGTAAAGCTGGCACTAGTGGTGGTGAGAAGAGGAAATGATTGGGTAAGTAACACCCCAGAGAGTTACTAACCTTCTGCTACCACCTTACCAATTAAGTGCTACGTAAGAAGGTCCATTGGGTACTTTCTCAATTTGTTAATGATTAAGACCCTTAAATAGTCAAATAATAGGTAATTAAGAGTCTCAGTTCATCTCCTCTCCGATGACCAACCCTTCAGACAAGTAGGAAAAGTAGCAGCTTCCTATCTGGTAACTGAACTGGGACTGGGTTCAGGGAGGGCTTCCAACTGCCAATAATCTGGGGCCAAGCACATGCACAGATGAAGTTGAAGGGAACGGCCTTTGAAACCAAATCCCTGCCCTTGCCTTCAATTTCCAGGACTCCCTTATTGTGATCACCTCCCACCCCATCCATGAGGAACAGAAGAAAAAGACCTACACTTTTGCTTTTGGATGCCCTGAAGAGTATGTCCCAAAAAAAAAATGGTCTTTAGGACCCAGAAGCTACCTACCCTTGATTTTTCATTAACTTCTGGTGAGATATGATAGCAGTGTCGAAGCCTGTGAAAGGCCAGAAATCTCACCAAAATTCATCTGTCAGTTCTTAATAAGTTGGTGACCTGGTGAGCTTTCTGAGTTGGTGATGATTAAGTCAATACCTAACATATCCACTCCCACACTGGCCTTGAAAATGGTAAAATCTCAGCCCAAACATTCAACTCTGTAATATTGACTTACTTTGTCTATTTCAAGTTCAACAGTTCTACAAAGCCAAATTTCCAAAACATCTAAACACAGTCCTCTTCAAAAAGCTGATTGTCTGGCAGTGCTTTACCATCAAAATATGTTTGCGATTCAGGTACGCATCATTAATTTATTCTCCTTAATCCTTATTCGTGGAAACTCTGCCTTGGTATTGCTAATTCTTTCCTGCTCGCTTTCTTTCAAAGTAGTCTTGTGTAATTGTCTAATGTGCTTTAAAGATTTATTTTAGACTAAGCTTTTGTTTCAATTACGTGAAATTCACAGTCAATTTCTAATTTCATAATCTGCAGCCTGTAATGCTTTCTATTTTTCTGTTCAAGTTCTTTAGTTAATTATGTTGATTGTATTCTACATATTCTACCTAGTTACCCAATCAATCCAGAATTGCCCAGGCCTGTCTTTGGCCTGCTACACTGCTCCAGTGAGGCTTAGTGCAAGCTGGAAGAACTGCATTTCATTTTCTGCTTTGGATCTTACAGCTGTCAGGACTCAATGTCAAATTCAATATTTTTAGAGCCTGAACACCTCTTTCCATGTCTTTTATCTATCCGCACACCCAAGGCCCTGTCACAACATGGGTTGCTTTCAGTACAGCCCACCCATTTTCCCCTTATCAGAGACCCTTTCGTCATCTATCTAACTTTTCTTCTTCCCTGATTTACTGTCAACAATCCCCTATTTCTGACTAATTTATTTCCATTCTCCCTCTCTCTCTTTCCCCCTCTCTAGGCCTTATCTCCGCCTATCTGCTCACTCATTCTCCCTGCCAACCCTGTCATCAGCAAAAATACCACTTTTTCTTAGACACTATCGGTTCTGAATAAGAGTCACTGGAATTGAAATATTAACACTGTTTCACTTTCCACAAATGCTGCCAGACCTGCTAAACTTCTCCAATAACTTCTGTTTTTGTTTCAGAAATTGCCCTGTGTCAGCATCCAGAAAATTCATTACAAACAGATTGCAGTGTTAGTTTTAGTTGAGAAAGCTAGGTAAAGAAGAAGTATTGAGAAACTTGAAAGCAGCAGAAGACCATTTAAAAATATATCAGTTAATACAAAGTTTTATGTCTTAAAATCTACAGGTCATGGAAGAAATTTTGTGCATGTCAATACAGAGGAGAAATAATCTTGGAATCAATTACCAAAGTCTAAGTCTTTTTCAACCAAGGGTAGAAATCTTTAATAAAGTTGGTCATCCAAATGACCATGATACCTACATGAAGGAGGTGCAATTCTTCCAGGGTGGAATGAAAGATCACCATGCTCTGCCTTGAATCCTGGAATAAATGAGAAACAGATGGGATGTACCTGTCCAATTCGCTACAAAACATTTCAAGCAACTAAAACAGATTCACATGAAAATTTTATTTTGTGAACATACTTTTCACAACAATTGATGCAAAAGCTGAAATTTCTCCCTTTGCATTCATGGCTGAGGCACGATACTGAGCAGTGTCATCAAAGTCGCAACTGAAATGAAACCAGATGCCAGAATTAGACAGAAAAGAAAACAATGCTAAATAGATAATTTTGCAAAGATTAAACTACATTAAACTTTTTAAAATTTGCTCATTTTCTTTCCTTTTCTCCTCTTCAGACAATACCAACTCCATGTAGAGATACGATTGCTTAACTGGTGGTCACTGGCTGGCTTCTGATCAGTCTATTTGCTACGTCTAATGAAAAGTAAATTTTAAAACTTTGATTATATTTAATTTCTAGAAAAAAATCTGGTTCAATTAGCCCATCTAATGCACTGCCTATTTTTAAAGTTGAACTTTTGCTCTGTTGAGTTAGTTGTCAGTGTCAGGGCATTATAATTGAACTGAATAGACTGTATGAATGGAACTCTGTGTTCAGCTTCCACCTAATATGTTATCTGCTGAATTGATTATTTGTCAATTGCAAAGAATCCCTGAATATATTCCCATGGATACTTTATGTGAATTTCTGTTATCTGCACTAATGTTTCTAATATTTCTTATTTGAAAGCATGTATACAGAGTCCTTGTTCCTGATGGCTGGATAAAATCTGCATTTTCCCATTGAAAATTTTCTGTGGGCTTATCGTAGAAATTGGCTTTGCATTAACAAAGAAACCAGAAAGCCATTGTAGGTGAATTATAGTCTGCAGCATGCAAGAGATAGGGAGAAAAAAATCAGAGGCAATAAACTTAAGAAATGTAACTGCAGTAGTATAACTTTTCTTGAGTCAGCATTGGATTCCAGAAGCATTCTCAACTTTCTAGTTCTAAGACATCAGCACATAATCTAAGCCAACATTTCAGTGTAGTGCTGAGGGAGTGATGTAATATCAGAGGTGCTACCTTTCCAATGAAATGGATCCCCCTTATCCTTTCACATTTAAATAAAGAATTATATCACTCTCTAAAGAGCATGAACAAAGTTGACCTAGTGTCTGAACCAAGTTATTCTTCAACCAACATTGCTAAAATAGATAATTTACTTAGTTACCACACTCCTGTTTGAGGGTCCGCTCTGTAGAAATTGGCTATTATGTTTCCTTATAACAGTATCAAAGTTTCAAAGGTAATTAGGGGTTGTATAAATGCAGGTTAATTGAACAGGAGTAAAACAAACAATAGTATCAACAAAGATGCAATTAGGAACAATAAATATAAATAGAACTTAATATAAAAAGGAAATCAGTGAACATATTTAAATGTAGGAACTTTACAGCTGAATAGGCATTGACTTAATCAGAAGGCAGCACTATGATCAATCAAACTGTTCTGTAGTTTCAATGGTAACATTCAGCTATTTATAAACTGGTGATAATGGATTCCTGCACCAACTGACTGTAAAACAGTAGCTTAGTAGTTCTAATTAAGTTCTGCTTGGAATGTGCCAGTATGAATGAACAAATTACAATATTGGGCAATGCTACACAGTAAATAGATTTACTTCTAGAGCACCAAACATTCATCAGGATTTGTCTGCCTGTCAAATTTTCACAATGGTTGCCATTTCCATGATTTTCCAGCCACCAGACAATGAACACAGAGTGAAGAAATCTCATGATTTTTAATTTAAGTCATCTAATGATACATTATATATATATGATGATATGTCTTGTGCTTTTGTATTCACTGAGGCATCCAGTTCAGAAATATTTCATTTTTCAACTAATGGACTGCATTTTTATAATGTCAGAAATTGTTTGGCTATTCAGTGTGATGTACTGTCACACAGTACTTGCTCAAAAGACGGAATGGGTAGGACTTTCAACCATTTCCTTTCAACTGCTGTCAAAGTTTGGAGTCTGGGAGCACACAGGGTTGAAGATCTACATTAGTTTTGAAACATAAAGAAGCTTAAGAGGTCTTTCACCAATTATAAATATACCAAGGACCCATATTCTATCAGCATATTGTTAAGTACAGCAACTGGAAGACTGGGGTCATGGTACAGATAATATTATCCTATTCTAGCAAGATACAATTATGTTTGGTTATTTTACAGCAATACTAAAGAATTGAATGTGCTTCTTTCTGAATAATAGTTAGCATCAAATTTGTTCACTTTCTATGGATTCTTTCCATGGAGTCACACAAATATTCATAATTGACTTATTTTTGAAGGAGAGTATTTGGGCTATCATGAACAGAGGTCAATAACTAGCCAGCATAGATTTATAGAAGGATTAGAGGTAATCGAAGAGTTTTATTTTCATCCCAGAGGTTGATTAGGGTTTGGAACACACTTCCTGGAACGTTGGTAGAGACAAAAAAAACTATCATTGCATTTTTAAAAAATGAAAAATTGGAAATATACTAGAGCTACTGCCCACGAACTAGAAGATAAACTTGACTGGATAGCTCTTTTACACCTGGCATGATGGACTGAAGGGCATTCTTCTGCACCATAAATTTGCCATTTCTTCCTTTGCTTTCAATGTGCAATACTGCAACATACTATGTGCATTCAAATTCTTATTAAAAAGTCAATAATAAAGCATTATATTTATAATTATTTGGTCCATATTATAATTGACAATAACTTTTAGCCTGACTTTATTTTAAAATTTATTGCACAATCTTATAGGGATCTGAGTGACATGGGCCATGGTGAGATGTGTAGCAGAATTGGGAGACAAATATGGCATGGTACATCTTGACATCGAGATCATCTCACTCAACCTATTTTTGCTTTTCCCAAGTGGCGTGGCGAAATTCTCATGAAGTAGTGATGAGATATCGTTTGGCAATTGTCAGGGGCAAATTTAACTCATGACAGTCAATGTTAAATACTTTTCTACAGCAGATTCTAGTCCATTCTTTGGTATGTATAATTGAGAAAGACAGGAAGTTGGAGAAAAAAGAATGACTGTCTCAAGCCATCTATCCCAGCTAATAACGTCCATGACAAATTGTGCAATATCATGAAATTTTTAACACGTGTAAGTGTTAGGACTCTGCAAACAAAACAACTGACTGATAATGTACTTGTGTTTCCTTAATTTTCCACAATTATTAATGTCTGAGTCACTCTGCAGGCATTATTGAATCACAATTCACACTACCAATATTATTTCTTGGTAAACAAACAGGTGGCTGGAAGAACACAAGTCAGGCAGCATCTGAGTGAAAGTTTTGGGTATACGTTTTGGGTATAACCCTTCTTCAGGGTCGCAAATATTATTCCTTCTTTTAACAGAAATTGATTACTCAAACTAATTGACTTTAGACTGAAGAAAGGAAATAGCTTCTCACTTGTTAATTTCCAAGGAATGAACACCATATTTACTGTCAATGATGTATTTCCCAGGATCAGTGTGGACATTGATGGTCACATTGTTCTTGTACCTAAGCATTAAAATAAAATGGGCGTTACAAATGTAAAGATAATAGTGTAAAGCAGGAGAAAATCTGATTTTTTTTTCCAATCATGAGCATCATGTATGCAGGTAATACATAATGAATTCAAAACTAAAAGGCACATCAACACTAATTCCTTAAAACAGTTCAAACTAAGACGCTCGCCAGTACTGTTCAGCAGCATGGTTTTATCAAGAAATGTTTCCTCCTAGCTTTCTGCTAAATCCTATCTGCAATATTCTGAAGTCACATCGAAACTGATTTTAGTCAACACTGGTGCATAATTTAATCTGACAGATAATAAGGGATAACTCAGGTGGCATATGGAAATGGGAGACAATCAAACCTTTTCCAGAAGGTGTGTTACGCATTCCATTATTTGCAGTCATGTTTTCCTTTTACAGAACTCCTACAGTGTGGAAACAGGCCATTTGGCCCAACAAGTCCACACCAACTCTCCCAAGAGCATCCCACCCAGACTCACCCCCCTACCCTATCCCTGTATTTCCCATAGCCAAACCACCCAACCTGCAGATCTTTGCACTGTGGGAGGAAACCCACACCGACACAGGGAGAATGTGCAAACTCCACACAGACAGTCAACGAAGGCTGGGGTGAACCTGGGTCCCTGGCACTGTGAGGCAGCAGTGCTGACCACTAAGCCACCATGCTGCTCAGTTGCCTAGCTCCTAGACCTAGTACAGGAACAGCACATCAGTCCCTCTAGCACCCCCAAATCAGGGATGGTAAGTTGGGTGGATGAATTTTCTGCTACTTGGAAACTGAAACTGGCCTTCTTCCATGAATAAGTGGGCTTGGCAGCCAAGGTTTCTAACTTGGTGAGCTGCATTAAATCCAGGCCAAAGTGGATGGCCAGTGGGTCAGTGGTTAGCACTGCTGTGTAGCAGCACCAGGGGCCTAGGTTCGGTTTCAGTCTCAGGCAGCTGTCTGTGTGAAGTCTGCATATTCTCTCCATGTCTGTGTGGGTTTCCGTTGGGTGTTCCAGTTTCCTGCCCCAGTCCAAAGATGAACAGGTTAGGTAGGTTGGCCATGCTAAATTGCCCACAGTGTCCCGGGATGTGCAGACTAGGTGGATTAGCCATGGGAAATGGGTTACAGGGATAGAGTAGGGGAGTGGGTCCGGGGGATGCAGTTCAGAGGGGCAGTGTGGACTCAATGGGCCAAATGGCCTGATTCCACACTGTAGGAATTCTAAGAGAGGTTACAGGAAAAGGTTAGCATGCATCAATAAACTAAATTTGAAACATTTTATTAAAATTTAATTTTTAAGTGCTTTGCTGATGAAAATTTTGGCCTGTTAATGATCTAAATGGAAATTTTCAATTAATAGCAGAGGACCTTTTTATATTAGAAAATGAGTACCTTCCCTCTGTTTCATAAATTAAACAGATGATGTAAAACTTCCATTAAAAGTGGAGAAGCAAGTTATGGGCAAGATTGTAACTGGTACTATAGATATACTAAATAGTTTATTACTGTAATTTGATAAGAACCTGAGTTGAAGGTTGGAAAACTTTTACAAAGTAGATAAAATGATTTAGTCACTCAGAATTTAACAGGTGCAAATGTGTATTACTGCTATTGTTGCAAATATCTAATTTGTGGTTCATGTGTTTCAGACTATAATTTTTTAGTTTCAGGAATTAAAGTTTAACAGTAGAAAATAGGATAGATGCAACTAAAGCACCTTGAAGTTCATTTATACAATTCGTGCTATGTTGCTTGAAGAGGCTAACAGCTAGGAAAGTGATGCAGTTTTGAAAGTTGGAATTTAGTGTTTGCCAGAACATTTAAAACAAATAGAATTTCAAAATAAAAACAGAAAGTGGTGGAGAAACTGAGTGGGTCTGGCATTGTTTTTGGAGAAAGAGAAAAGTTACTGTTTTGAGTCCAGAAGAACCGTTATTCAAAACTGAAATGAGCTGGAAAATTTTGTTTTTTATGCTGCTGTGAGAGGGGAAGGAGAAGCAATTGAATCAGATTGTAAGGGTGCCAGAGTAAAAGACAAAGGGAGTGATAATGATAGCTCAGAGGAGGTTGTGTCATCTTGGATTTGGATAGATCTTAAGAAGCTTCTGTGGTTTCAATTTATCTGTGTGTATGTATGATAGGAGAAATTTTGAGCTGCGTGAGGTTACTTACAGTTTGAAGCTACAGGAGCACTAAAGCAAAGACATTTCAGACAGCATAAATGCTGCTGTTAACAAATTCCAGGCAGTTAGCGTAGAAGAAGTCTCTGAAAGCCACTGTTCAGTGAGACGGAGAGTGTAGGAGAAGAAAAACCATGAGCGGTATTTTCTTGGTACAACAAAGAAATATTGGAGCTCAGAGAAATCCTAAAGGCATCAGCTTAGTGAAGCTAGCTGTCTGCAAAAGAGCTGTGCACATGAGTAGGTACTGGAATGTGGCATTGGGAAACCACTGCAATGCTATCCCATGGAAGAGATTGAATTACTATGATGTGAGCATTCATTAAGGCAATCTATGATTGAGTGGTTTTGGAGTTCCAAAGCTCAACTTTAAGAATTAAAATCCCTTGCAAAGGATACAGAGTGTTAATGAGATTTGGTGATCCACAGTGTTACACACATTTTCTAGTCAGGATGGTGAATGGTTTGGAGAGGAACTTGCAATGGTTATGTTATGTGGTGGTAGGGTGGTGTTCCCATGTATCTGCTGCCCTTGTCCTTTTAGTTGGAATTGATTGTGGTTTGGAAGTTGCTGTCTGAGGATATTTGGTGAATTTCTGCAGTGCATCCTATAGATAGTACACACTGCTGCTACTGAATATCAATGGTAGAATGACTGAATATTCGTGGATATGGTGACAATCAAGCACGCTGCTTTTTCCTGGATGCTGTCAAGCTTCTTGAGTGTTGTTAGAGGTGCAATAATACTGGCAAGTAGGGAGTATTCCATCACATTCCTGACTTGTGCCTTGTCAATGGTGGGCAGGCTTTACAATTCAGGAGGTGACTTACTCGCTGCAGTGTTCCTATACTCTGACCTCCTCTTGTAGTCACCGTATTTATACGGTGTGTCTGGTTCAGTTTCTGATTAATGGTAACTCCAAGGATATAGATTAGTGTGGTATTCAGTGGCGGTAACAACATTGAATGTCAAGGGGCTGGGGTCAGAGTGTATCTGATTGGAGACGATCATTGCTTGGCATTTGTGCGGCACTTTACAATGCTTAGTCTGAAGGTCTTCTTTTAAGTCCACATTATCTTAAGAATGTATTTGGAAAGAAAAAGGTAGAGTTCACTGTTTTATTTTCCATAAATAGCATTTTATCTTGCTTTGGTAAACAAGCAAGACTGCTGGGGAAGGGGTTAATATATTGTACGAACATAATAGATGTCTTTATTTACCATGTAACTCGAGGCACAGGCCAGCCTGAGACGGTGCAGTGTAACTTCACATTCTGTTTCTCCCAGACAGTGTGGGACCTTGGCTTGATTATAAACTCAGGCAAGCGAAGCAAGCTGTCCTCTCTCAGTCTTTTCTGAAAATCTTGTGTGTCATAAATCTGAGGGAGATGTGAAAGAGCATGAGGCTGATCCAGTGCAAGCATTCAGCATTAGCAACATAATTATTTAAATATTGTAGATCTGTTTTTCTAGATTTACAAATAAAAGGCAAATTAGCATTCTGAAAGAAAATAATAGCATATGCAATTAAGAAAAGTTCTTTCTGGAAAAGTATGTAACAAACTAGTATAATCATAAGTGCAAGTGTCATAACAATGTGTTATTGTCGGGATTTCTAACCCTACTTTCAGCAGATGTGCAGTCAAGTTGGGGTGCATAAACCAGAACCACAACCACCGCCTCATTGGCAACTAGGCACAGGCAATAAATGCTGGAGCAGCCAGCACACCCACATCCCATAAATGAATGAAAAAACCGATTAGCCAACAGATCCCGCAGGCCGGGACTTGCTTTCCCTGAGGTCCCACTCTTGGCTCGTTAATACTGTCCACAATGTATTATTCGCTGCTAGGCACAAGTTTTGAAAGTTAGTCACAGTCAATGTCCTTGTTCCATCCCCCAGATCACCCTAAGTTTGTACGTTTTTAGTGTCAAGATCAACCCTGAGCTAAGATTCAAACACTACATCCAAATAAGGTATCTTTTTGTATGATTAAAAGTTACTTCCTGTCTGATCTCCAATGTTGTAGCAGCTCTTAATGATTCTTTTGCCACTTCAAATCTCAATTTTTCAATGTCCTACTTTTCATGCCTCCAGATGCCATAAGTTAATCCAAAGTTCTGCTACCCATACCATGTTCCAATAAAATTCTTCTCTCTCTTCCATTTGTGTCTTTGTTGACCTCTCCTCATTCCTCAGGTTACTACACTTGAAATCTGTATGCTCTATGATCTCATTTCATCGTACCTCTCTGACATTCTGAGTCCCAAGTCCCAGCTTGCATCCTCCATATTTCTGGCTGGTTCAATACTCCAATTCGAATTATGTTAATACTTGAAACAATGTTCAAGCAACACCCCACTTCCCTCTCAATGCTCTTCCCACTTGTAACATCTTCTCCACTTTCAAATACATCTGTTTAAAATCCAAGCTTTCAGCTTTCTTAATTAAGCTCCTTTCCGCTTTGACCAGGTGTGAACAATGGAAAACAATGGATTTGCTCTTATTGTAATAGTGCCACATAAATAATAATTGTTGCTGTAACAATGTCAGCTAACAGGAAAATAATGTGGATAAATAATACAGAATAACTGGGTTCTATAATTTTCGTACATTAAAGGTTAGGACGTATTCATTAGACTGAGCCCATTAAAGTCAGAAAATTAATTGTGCCTCCACCAATTTTCAAAAGTAACTCAAATTACAAAGTGTAAAGTCAAAAGCTGTGAAACTTTTTTTTTGTCACCAGCACACTTAGAAAGTGTAAGTAAGGAAAAAATAAATTCACACCTTCTCAGCTTCTACAGTTTCTAACTGCAGCATCTGAATTGGATGTTTGTTATTCCTCCCTTACTGCTTCGTGTGGATGTAAATATCACGTAATAATGCAGGCAGCATCACTGAGACTAACTCATTACTGTGATATGCCCTTTATTGAAGTATCCCGCCTCATATATTCCTGCTTGCAAGACCCTTCAGAAATCCCCGGCCTGTGACTTACCTCATTACTGACAGTTGTTTCCATGATCCCATTTGGCAGCCTTCCACCAGCTGTCTGTCACTTGCCACTAGTTTGGGAAAGTAACTGACCAAGGGCATGCAGATAAGGTTCTGGGAACTAAAATCTCTTGGACCTCACAATGCTGAGATCAGTGGTGTTTGAGTCCATTGGATAAAAAATAGCTGTGTAATTTGCAATAGAGATAGTAGGAACTGCAGATGCTGGAGAATCCGAGACAACAAGGTGCAGGGCTGGATGAACACAGCAGGCCAAGCAGCATCATAGGGGCAGAGAGGCTGACGTTTCGGGCCTAGACCCTTCATCAGAAAAGGGGGAGGGGAAGGGGGTTCTGAAATAAATAGGGAGAGAGGGGGAGGCGGATAGAAGATGGATAGAGGAGAGGATAGGTGGAGAGGAAACAAACAGGTCAAAGAGGCGGGGATGGAGCCAGTAAAGGTGAGTGTAGGTGGGGAGTTAGGAAGGGGATAGGTCAATCCAGGGAGGACGGACAGGTCAAGGTGGCGGGATGAGGTTGGTCGGTAGGAGATGGAGGTGCGGCTTGAGGTGGAAGGAGGGGATAGGTGGGAGGAAGAACAGGTTAGGGAGGCAGGGACGAGCTGGACTGGTTTTGGGATGCGGTAGGGGGAGGGGAGATTTTGAAACTTGTGAAATTCACATTGATACCATTGGGCTGCAGGGTTCCCAAGCGGAATATGAGTTGCTGTTCCTGCAACCTTCGGGTGGCATCGTTGTGGCACTGCAGGAGGCCCAGGATGGACATGTGGTCTGAGGAATGGGAGGGGGAGTTGAAATGGTTCGTGACTGGGAGGTGCAGTTGTTTATTGCGAACCAAGCATAGGTGTTCTGCAAAGCGGTCCCCGAGTCTCCGCTTGGTTTCCCCGATGTAGAGGAAGCCACACCGGGTACAGCGGATGCAGTATACCACATTGGCAGATGTTCAGGTGAACATCTGCTTGATGTGGAAAGTCTTCTTGGGGCCTGGGATGGGGGTGAGGGAGGAGGTATGGGGACAGGTGTAGCACTTCCTGCGGTTGCAGGGAAAAGTGCTGGGTGTGGTGGAGCTGGAGGGGAGCGTGGAACGGACAAGGGAGTCACGGAGAGGGTTGTCCCTCCGGAAAGCAGATAAGGGTGGGGAGGGAAAGATGTCTTTGGTGGTGGGGTCGGATTGCAGATGGCGGAAGTGTCGGAGGATGATGCGTTGGATCCGGAGGTTGGTGGGGTGGTACGTGAGGACGAGGGGGATTCTTTTTTGGTTCTTATTGCGTGGACGGGGTGTGAGGGATGAGGTGCGGGAGATGTGGGAGACATGGTTGAGGGCGTTCTCGACCACCGAGGAGAGGAAGTTACGGTCCTTGAAAAACGAGGACAACTGAGATGTACGGGAGTGGAATGCCTCATCCTGGGAGCAGATGCGGCGGAGACGAAGGAATTGGGAATAGGGGATAGCATTTTTGCAGGAAGGTGGGTTGCTCCCACGAGGAGCTCGAACAGTTCATACAGGGGGAGTTGAAATGGTTCGCGACTGGGAGGTGTAGATTTGGGTTTATAATTTGTGTTCACCAGTGATCAAAGCAAAGAATTAAATGCAATAAGTTCATCAGCTTATTCGGGCTAACCAGCACATGGCTTACCCTTTTGAAGCAGTAAGATGCAGTCCAAGATGACATTGCCTAAATGGGACTGAACTCTTCATTTTGACAGTACAAATATTGGCACACAGTTCTATAATATAATTGATCTCATTAGATAAAAGTGATTGACAAATGTTCAACAGTAGCATCTTCAAGAAAGGAAGAGGAGAGGAAGAGGGGAAAAAATCAGTGCAATACAAAATTAATAAATTGGGGAGGTAGGAGCAAGAAGAAAAGGAAGGTAAAACTTTTGCCCAAAGAGCTCTAGAATTGAGAGATAATTTCTGGGAAGACATTGCTCCACTGATTTTAAAGGGTCTCAAAGTCAATTAAGTGTCCATTTTCAAAATAAAGGGATTGTGGAATATGGGGAAAAGAAGGGGCTAACCATTCAAAAAGGGAGGGGCTTTGTGTACCTCATGCATTTTTTGCTATTAAATATACTTATTCCTTTCACTGAGATAAACTGTTTTTTTTCTCACTGACATGAGCTTTGGTTCAGTATCTGGAACAGACTGTTTGGATTGAAGTTGTTGTTTATTTACCTGTTTATTCAGTGAAATGCGTTCTGCAGATTCCCGGATGGCAACTTTTCTTGACTTGTCCATGGCAGACCTCTCAATATTATGTTCTTCAGTAATATTACTTTGGGCAGAATGAAATTCTCCAGCGAAATGACTTGATTTAGATTGCTTAGCTCTTTCATCTTTTGAGCTGGTAATTTCACTGACGTGTTCATGGCTAAACCAAAACAAATAACACGGAAGTCAAATTAGCCTTATTAACAATTACTGTTTATTATGCATAGCCTGCCTTGATTCCTTTGATACTGTATTCCCTTTCACATTATAATTGCTTGCTTTACTGCTATTATTATGTCATTGTCAATGGGCAACGTCTTCTGCAAGTATAGATGAACTTTATTACAACAAACTTTTTATTTTGATTTATTAAAGCCTTGAAATTAAAGCCATAAAACTTTTCAGCATAGTTATTTATCCCATGATGTCAAAACCCCAGCAATACAAAATTAGTCCCATTGCCTGCTCGCTTCCACGATCCTGTATCTTCTTCTTTTCAAATACTGGTACTAGCTTACAGTAACAAGGGCAGAACCTTATACCTCAACCATATGACAAAGCATTTGATGCTCCAGTAACCCTTCATATAAATACATTTCTCCTTTCCTCTTACTTCACTCTCTTAAAAACCAGTTATAAATTGACTCTTCATTGACACACTAACCAGAGAAAGTACTCCTCTTTGTTCAGAACCTTTAACTCTGTCAAATTTTCTGTAGTCAATCTCTGATGCAGTGAAAGCAGATCTCAAGTCTTGTATAACTATACCATCTATGAGATCATCCTGCTGACTTTGCGTTGTAAGCTCTTAATGGCTTTATCTTATAATAAGGTACCAAAACCAAACATCTGTCTAACACTGACCTAATATTGGCCCATGTTTTGTACAAATGCATTCATTACTTACTCTTGTAATAGCTGCTCATATTTATGAAATCAAAGTTCAGTGAGATTTGTATGGTTTTATCAACCCATTCTCACACTTTATTATGTAATTGAAGACTTTGATCTTTTAGTTCATCACACCCTTCAACATGTTTCCATTGAATACACACTCCAATTTCTTTACTTTTTTCAGCATGTACAAACACATGTTTATTCATATTAACTTGAATCTGTCACCCATCAATCTATTCAATGAACCTTTCTGTGACTTTCTCAACTGTTTGCCAACTCCCAGACTTAAGGTGTCAGCAAATTTCAATAAAATAATAAAATAAAACAACAAGTCACTGGGCTGGAAATGTTAACTCTGCTTTCTCCTGATGGATGCTGCCAGACCAGCAAGTTTTGCCAGTAATTTCTGTTTTTGTAGCAAATTTCACCATGTCTAATTTATCTGTATTTTTCAGCAACAAAAGTGGGCCTATTCCGGGCCCATGAGGAACACTATGTCCAACCCTCCTACAGCCTGAGAACATCCATTTGACCGTACCCTCTATTTTGTGACAAACAGCTTTGCATCAGAACTATTGCACTTCTACTTAAACCATTCTCTTGATATTTTCTAACTTGCTTATTGTGAGATAGCTTATTAAATATTTTCTGGAAATCTGTATGGGCAACATTTAATATCTTTGCCTTATTTACCACAATTGGAAAAGGTCAACATCTTGCATTTCTGTGCCATCTTTAAGCAAATAAAAGAACTAAAGCATTTCAGGAAAGCAGAAGTAGACAGAAAGAAATAGCGTGGGGTGATAAAAGCTTGGATTTTAAAAAGGTGATGTTAACAATTGTCTTCAATGAAGAAAGGTTTAGAAATTGGATTCGATGAGGTCTAGATGGCTCAACACAGGGTACAACAAAAGAAATAGCAAGTTCACATGAGTATAGGATCATAGAAATGAAAGGTTTTGGGATGGAGTTGTAAATCTAAAGACAATTATAGAGATACAGAGGGGTGAAGCAATGAACAGTTAAATATGAGGGTGATCATTTTAAGTTGGAGCTACTGAAGGATCAGAAGCTTCTATAGGTCCATAAGGAGAGTGATGATGACTAAATGGGATTGAATGCCATATAAGATCCAGTTCATCACACCCTTCAACATGTTTCCATTGAATACACACTCCAATTTCTTTATTTCTTTTCAGCATGTACAAACACATGTTTACTTGTATTAACTTGAATCTGTCACCTGTCAATCTATTCAATGAACCTTTCTGCAACTTCCTCAATTCTTTGCCAACTCCCAGACTTAAGGTGTTAGCAAATTTCAATAAAATAGTAAAATAATAAAATAAAATGAAGAGTCACTGGACTTGAAATGTTGACTCTGCTTTCTCCTGACAGATGCTGCCACACCAGTTTTTTGGTAGAACTGAAGATCACTGAGTGTGAATCATGGGATCAGAAATTCAGTATGAAAGAAAAGTGATATTACATAAGACAATAAGAAATAGCAGGAGGAGTGAATCGTATGGCCCCTCATACCTTTTCTCATTTCAGAAAATCAAGCCAGCAGAACCAATAAGTCACTATCTACCCTGTAGAATTCCTTCAGAAGCTTGTATATGTTTCAATTAATTCTGGGGATTATGGACACAATTTACTCAGCCTGCCTTCACAGGACAATTTTCTTACTCTGGGAAACAATACGATGAACTTTCATTCTTCTGCCCTAATTATAAGCATATCCTTCCTTAATTAGGGAAATCAAAATTGTACACATGGTATTAGGTGTCGACTCACCAAAACCCTGCACAATTGTGGCAAAACATCATCATTCATGTACTCAATTCCCTTGCATTAAAGGTCAAAACAAGAATTATTGTGCACAGTATTGGTCACCTTTAAGGAAGGATGTAAATGCATTGGAAGCAGTTCAAAGAAGGTTTACTGGAATGAGTATGGCTGAGGAAAGGTTGAATAAACTCAGCTTATATCCCGAAGTAAAAAATGACTTGATTGATATGTGCAAGATTCTGAGTGGCCTTAAGAGGGTAAATCTTGAAAGGATGTTTCATCATGTGGGATAATCTAGAAAGAGAGAATCACTGTTTAACAATAAGGGGCACCCTTCTAAAACAGTGATAAGGAGAATTTTTTTTCATAGGGCTTTGAGAGCCTTTGGAACTCTCTTCCTCAAAAGGCAGTGGAAGCAGAGTCCTTGAACATTTTTAAGGCAGAGGTATCTGGATTCTTGAGAAACAAGGGGTTAAAAAGCTATTGGGGTAGGCAGGAATATGAAGTAATCAGATCAGTTTTCATAGAAATCATAGAATCCTTATGGTGTGGAAGCAGGCCATTTGTCCCTTTGAGTCCACACCAACCCTTCCTGGAGCATCCCACCCAGACCCATCCCATCCCTGCAACCCTGCATTCCCCATGACTAATTCACCTAACCTACACATCCCTGGACACTATGGGCAATTTAGCCTGGCTGATCCACCTAACCTGCACATCTTTGGACTGTGGGAGGAAACCAGAACAAACCCACAAAGACACAGGAAGAATGTGCAAACTCCACACAGACAGTCACCCAAGGCTGGAACCAAACCAAGGTCCATGGCACTATGAGGTAGCAGCGTTACGCACTGAGCCACCATGTCGCCCTATCATCTCATTGAATGGTGGAGCAGGTTAAAGGGCTGAGTAGCCTCCGCCTGCTCCTAATTTGTCTGTTCATGGCTCTGTGAACATGGCATTTGCTTTCCTAATTACTTGCTGCATTTGTGTGATAATGTTTTATGTTCCTTGTTTAAGTACACCAAAGTATCTATCAACATCAACAATTAAAAGTTTCATGCCTTCTTTTTTAAAAATCTCCTTTTCTGTTCAGATTCTCAAAGTGTATAATCTCACATTTTTTCACATTATATTTCATCTGTCGCCCTTTTGGCCATTCACTTAACAAGCCCACATCTCTTTATAGCCTCTTAATGTCCTCCTCACTGCTTACATGTTTTTAAATTTGCAACCAAGTTAGGTATATTGTTCTTGGTGTCTTTGTTAAGTCATTAATATGGATTATAATTAGCTGAGGCCTCTACACTGATCTTTGTGATACATCTCTAGTTGTATCCTGCCAACTTCAAAATGCACTGCTTATTCCTACTCTCTTCTTCCTATCTATCAACCGATCCTCTATTCATTCTAATATATTAACTCACTTCCATGAAACCTTATCATCGTTTTTATACAGCAACTTATTGAATGCCTTGAAGATGATGGATGTTCATTTCAGTTATTTTATAGATGCCATGAGTTGCTTCTTGTATGGTCCATGTTGTGTTCCTAATTGGTATCAGATTCAAAAAGTGGACAGGGATTGTCCCAGTGAATCAGTTAAAGTGATGCTACATGAATGAACTTCTTTCCCCGTGACCAACTTTGCTTTCTAATATTTAACTGATTGAAAATTCACAAATCTTGATTATAGTCATTCATAGTTTTAAGATAAATAATGGTTGCAATAGTCTACTAATAACATATTGGAGCTTTACACTTATATTTCACTTCTAATACATTATATTAGACATTTGACATGCAGCTCCAGGTGCTGGAATGTTCTCTGAAATTCTTTTCTAATCCCTAAGGCATATACAGAATTTCTAATTCCCTTATCTGTATAACCGCGTAACTATTAGAGTGCAGTCATACCGTCCTCCGAAGACAGGCACTATATAATCAACAGCTTCATTCTCTTTCCCCTTAGAGTAGTAGTCCTGCTTCGCTCTCTTCATTTGAGGGCTTCCAGAAGAGGTTTCTAACATTTCATCCGAAAACTTGGATCTTACTCTGCAATAGTAACAAAATGAGGCACAATTTATTCTTCATTGTTGCACACAAAGGTCAAAGATATAGGGTGGCCTCACCCCAACCTCCCTATCTCTGTAATCTCCTCCAGCTCCAGAATTCTTTGAGATAGTTGCACTTTTCTAATACCAAGCTCTTAAGTGTCCCTGATTTTAATTGCTCTACCATTGGCAGTTATGCCTTCAAATGCCTAGGCCCTAAGCTTTGGAATTTCCTCTCTAACCTTTCCCATTTCTCTGTTGTCTATTATGATGCTCATTAACGCCTAGCATTCTGAACAAATCTGCTCTAATGTTTTCTGAGGTGATGTGGTGTCACATTTTGTTTTGATACCCGTGAGAAGATCCTTGAGATATTTTATTGGCCAAAATCTGATCCGGGTTAGAACTACTTCATATAGGGTAGGTGAGGAGGTTGGGTGGCACATGGGTAGGGCGGCTGTGAATAAAGAGGTAGGTAGCAGATAGGTGAATGGGTACAGGTGGCAGGCAAGCTCAGGTAACTAGAGGGGTGTTTGTCTTGGGTGGAGGTGGTGTTTTTTGGAGATGGAGGTTGGGATGGGTGTCTGGAATTGGGGCAGTGACTGAATGGTCACTGTGAGTATTACAGGGACCAACAAAACATTTGGAAGTATCATTTCTACAGTTGCCCAAATTTCAAAGCATGCTTTAATCCCTCTAACTTTTCCTGGGTTACTATTAAGTTAAGTGAGCTACTAAGAGGAGATGATGGTGTGGGGGAGTGCCACTGGAATCCCAAAGTCCCAGACTCTGGATATGATTTCAAATTCTACCATGGCAACTGATGGAAATTAATTTCAATTAATCAAATCTGGAATTAACAGTTAGTCTCAGTAATGATGACCATAGATCATTAATATTGTATATCTTGTTTATTTACAATTGTCACATGGATCGTCATATAAACCCATCTGGTTCATTAATGTCTTTCAGGAAAGGAAATCTGCCATCCCTACCTTGTCTGGCTCACATGTAACTCCAGACCCACATTCATCTAGTTGACTCTTAACCCTTCTCTGAAATGGCCAGCAAGTCAATCAATTCTAGTGCAGTTCAGGATGGGCTATAAAAGCTGTCCTTGCCTTTGCCTCCCATGTCCCATAAAAGGAAAAAACCCTCCAAAGTCACTGACTCTAACTCAGAGTTAGGAACATTTTCAGAATGTTCCAGATACCACATAATTGCCAGGACATTTAAACTGTGTAGTATTTCAGCATACACCCAGTCTCCAACCATCCAGAGACCAGAATATCTGGGTCATTATATTAAAGTGCCACATAAATACAAATTGCTGATGTTGTTGCTATTGCTGTAATACAACCTGAAATATAACCCTAATGCTAATGGCTTTTGAATTTCTGAATTTATCCTATATATTCTGTCAAATAATAGAGAATTTTTTTATTGATTTCAAGTCATCCATTAAACACTTCCAGTTCCAATTTGAGTAAAATGGATTGTAGACTGTTTCCCTAAACTCCCTAATAAGAAACAAAATACTTAATATGGAACAGGTCTGATTGGGAATTAAAACCTTGTTTTCTGATAGTTGATCTCAACAAAATCTGTGATATGATTCTACAATTGACATAATGTCCCTGGACTGGAGGTGGATAAATCACCCATCTTCCTCAAAGCTGATTGCTATTTTAAGAAAATAAAAACTGTACTAGGCCATTGAGCTGTCAAGCTTAAATTACAGTCCAGTTGCACCATGGTTAATGTAATGATTGTAACGAGGTCAGCCAGGTGACATCCAAAGAGTATGAGTTCCCTGGTTGGGCCTGTTAATCTGATCTAATCAGGGAGCCTTGGCTGACAGGTAAGAACAGGGGTGTCAGACATCCTGCTGACTCCGAGAGCTGGGTCAGTGTCAAAGACCCTGCATGTGTAAATAAAGGGTGACTTGGTGACAGGAAATTGGTGTCCATGGAGTTATTTCAGTGGTGATGATAGTTAAAGCATGCTCCTGAAGAAATTTACTTGCAACAGTCGTCTTTGAGTTTGGGTAAGTATTTGTGGCATTATGCTGTTATTTGGGAAACTTGACCCGTAAATTCCTGCTGTTGAAGATTAGGCCCAGTATGTGGAAAAAATGCATTATTTTTTCTGGACAAATGACATTTGAGTAGATAAAAAGCAACAAGTAATTCTCCTGATAGCTTGTGGACCTGCAGCTTTCTTGTTTATTAGGAGCCTTACTTTCCCTGAGGCACCAGATTCTAAAACATTTCAAGAGTTGATTGATTTATTTAAGGAATATAATGACACCAAGCTTCCTCTAATTCTGAGTGCTAGCTGTTTTACTCAGCAATGTGAGAACCAGGGAAATCTGAACTGGAACTTTGACTAGGTTAAGATGACTAGCAGAGGCATGTGCCTTTGGTTTAATCCTTAATGAGATGCTGAGAGACCTGTTGGTATGCAGGATTAATGATGTAACCATGCAAAAGTGCCCACTAGCTGAAGCCCATCTAAACTTCAAACAGACACAACAACTGGCTTTATTATTGGAAAATGCAGCAATTGGAGCATATGGGTTGCAGGGTATTTTAATGGATGTGTACACCCTTGCCAGTCCAACCGAACTTGGGGAACACCACTTGAGTGAATGCCATTGCATGTCCTCATTCAGGACGTATCCTGAACAGAGGGATTCTAGGCTGGCCCACAGCAAAACTCCAAAACAAAGCCTTGACCAAATGGTTAAAATTTTATTGAGGATTCATTATAGTTGCTGCTGGTATGTGAACCCGAGACAGCAAAAGAATCCCTCTAGGGTTAAACTAAGTAAGAGAACTCCTAGGCCAGTATCCAGGAGCATGCATACTCTGGAAAGTCTACCTACAGCTGGTTTGGAACAATTAAATTGTTTAGCAACATCCAAATCAGAACCAATCAATATAAACATCTGATCTAATGGAGGTTAATATTCTTAAGTTTGCACAAGACATCGGCTGGACTGTACTGGAGGATCCTTAAAGATTAAGGGTACAACTTTGGTTCTGGTTTTGGGAAGCAGCAGGTTTAGTTACCGCTGATTGTAGTAAAAGGCTCAGGCCCAAGCTTGATGGAGCAGAATTGGTTGAGAAAGATTCACCCAGATTAGCTCAACTTGTTTTGATTAGAAAATGGCTGCCTGACTGAAGTCCTAATTAAATACCCAGAGGTTTTTCAAAAAGGTGTAGGGGTTTTCCATGGAGCCAAGGCTTTACATGTTGACCAGGAAGCAATTCCACATTTGGCAAAGCCTGCCCAATGCCTTTTGCCTTATGGGCAAAAGTAGTAGAAATCAGAAGGCTGGAAAGGAAAGGAATCATCAAACTAATCCAGTTTGCAGAATGGACAGCACAGGTCGTACTGATTTGTGAGGCTCAACTGGATGGTTCACCCCTGTGGGGATTTTAAACAACTGGTAGAATGCTTTTCACAGCTAGATAAATACCCAATCCCTTGCATAGAGGATTTATACACAAAACTGGTGGTGGGGACTGTTCTTCATTAAGCTGGATATGAGCCATGTGTACTTGCAATTGTGGTTAGATGAGGATTCCCGGAAGTATGTTACAATTAATACCCATAAAAGTTTGTGCCAATATATGAGACTGCTATTTGGGGTACCGTCAACCTGTGCAATTTTTCAGCAGACAATGGAGAATATTTTACAAGGTCTATCAAAAGTTGCCATTTATCTAGATGATATGCTAATAACAGGGAAGACCAATAAGAACACTTAGAGAACTTGGAAATAGCTCTTAGATGTTTCTCCTAGGCAGGTATATACCTTAGAATGGAAAAAATGTGTGTTCCAGGCATCCCAAGTGACCCACTTGGTCTACAGAGTCGACAAGACTGGGTTACACCCGTTGGAAGATAAAATGAGGGTGTGAACAAATGTGCCCTGGCTCCCACTTTTGTATTGGAGCTTAAGTCTTTCTTTGGGCTGATGAATTATTACAGAAAATTCATATATAACCTGGCCCCCATCCTGGCACCTTTGAATCAACTCTTTTAAAAAGGGTCAGCCTTGGAAATAGTCATGTACCAAAGCCATCACTTTCAGGGAAGTGAAGAACAGCTTTCATCCTCTAAGGTGTTGGCACACTCGATCCCAAGCAAGATTGGAATTGGTATGTGATACCTCCCCATATAGCATTGGGTTAGTATTGGTTCATAGGTGGCCCAATGCAGAGGAATGTCCAGTAGTGTATGCAGGACTTTGCTTAATGTACAGTGTAAATATCAGATAGCGAAGGAAGGTTTGGCAGTCATTTTTGGAGTCAGGAAGTTCCACCAATACCTTTACGGGCTATCGTTTACCATCAGAGAATTTGAATATTTCCTAAAGTTGAATGGTATTTGACTTAAGGACAGCTCCATGCCATCCATCATCCAATGGTCTGGCAGAAAGAGCTCTCCAAACCTTGAAGGCAGGCTTAAAGAAATAGCCTACAGTTTCGCTACATACCAAACTGTTTTGCTTCCTATTCAATTATACGACCACCCCTCATGCAACTACAGGGGCAGCTCCAGCAGAGTTGCTAATGTGGAGAAGACTGCGCGCCAGGTTAAATCTGATCTTCCGGGACCAGGGGGAGGGTGAAATGGCATCAGGAATGTCAATGCCAGACACAAGACTCTGCTAAGTGAGAGAGACAGTTTACTTCAGGGGATGAAGTTTCCTGTAGGAACCACAGGAACGGCTCTGCATGGGTAAGAGGCATTCTCGACATGAGGTCAGGCCCAGTGACTTATGAAGTTTGGCGAGGTGCGATGATCCTGAACAAAAATGTGGACCATGAAAGCTGGAAACTCTCAAATGGGACAGGAACAAAATGTGCCTGGCTCCTCGACAGATTTTTCTGACTGTTCCAAAACCCACGGGTTCTCCCTCCCTCTCCAAACATTGAAGATACTTTGGAATCTGAGATGGACACAGTGGATGTCACCACCTCAATGCCT